TGACCTCACGAATGACCGAGGGTCTCACCATCCACATGGTCTGCAAGTGTTAGTTAGTAGTTTTGTGCGAATGTCGTCGATGTATTCCGGTACGTACGTGGCTCTCGGCCCCAGTTGTTCGATCGTAGACCATGATGCCCTGAGCCTCTACGTTGAGGAACTGCTCCTCGTCGTCGGGCACATTGGTTGGCGAGCGTGGCGTAGACTCTTGGCCTTGGGCAACAGAGTGCCTGGGCCGGCGTTGGCGCAGAATCGAATGGGGGCCTAGTTGGATGGTGAAACGGGCAATGTGGCTCCTCGAATCATCCTTTCGGACGGACTCGATTGCTTGAGCGAAGCCGTCTGCGCCGGAGCATATCAAATCGAGCACCGGCTTGCCCGTGACTTGGGCGGGCAGAGTGCCAATGACATCGGTCCACGAGGGGCTGACGTAGCGGATCTTGCCCTCGAGGTCCAGGTCCATGATGATGTTCAGGCTGTGCTCGGCAGCCTCCTTGAGGTCTGCACGCTCGTTGCGCATGTCCTGGCTAACGGTCCTCTCCATGCCATGTCGGTGGCCAGGCGAGGTGGTGGCCTCATGCTTGAGTGCCGTAACGGCGGGGGGAGCTAGTGTCGTGGGTTTCTTGTCGTCAGCCATTGGTGCTGTTGGGGGTTACGAATGCCGCGCGTGCGGCTCTGGTTGCTCGGACCCGAGGTCGGGAGGCAGAGGGGATGGGGGGGCGCGGGTGCCCGAGGGCGTGTTGGTGCTTTGCTATGAAGAGGAGGCTCCCAAGACCATGTTGGAGGGCTCTGAGATGGACCGGGAGGGCTTCGGGCGTCGAGTGTAGGAGGCGTGTTCCGGCTTTGTGGTGCAGTGCGGTGCTGACTGCAACGAGGACGAGTCTAGAGCAGCTGCATTGCGGAGCCAGACAGAGGATTGGACAGTGCAACTGGGGGGGCCGAGTAGCGGTGGCAGCAGGTGGTTTGACGGCAGCAGAGGCAGCGGAGGGAGAGGAGGAGGCAGTGGTGATGTAGCAGAGCGCGGCGGGTGGGTATTATTTTTTGGGGCGTGCTTGGGGGGTGGACTGGTGGATGTGGTGGGTGGGTGGAGAGACAGAGAGGGGCAGAGGGTGGATGTATCAGCCGGCAGCACGAGCGTGTGAGAGCGACAGGAGGCGGCTCGGGAGAGGTAAGTGGACGCAGCAACGGCGTCGTGCAGCAGCGCGGTCGGGCAAGCGAGGGGTGGGCGAGGGAGGCGGGCGAGGGATGCAGCGAGGGCAGGTCGTGGGTGGGCAGCGCTATCCAGCTGGCAAAAGTCGCCAGCCCGCACGCGTCGAGTGAAAGTCACACGGAAAAGCGCCGTGCAGGGCGGAGGCTAGCAGCCGGCGGGTGCAGATGATGCTGCTTACCCTCTGCCGCACGGCGCGCCCTCTGCGCCCGCCCCACGCTGCTCAACGCTGCACCATCCCGGCTGCCAAAGCCATAGAGCACAACGGCACGCCAGCGACGGGGCCGAGTGCTTGTCCACGCATCTATGTTTGGCATGCAGACATGGCCTGCCACTGCATCTGGGCCTGCTGTACGCAAGCATGGCAATGCCGTCGCTGCCAAGTGGTGTGCTTACGGCTGTTGTTGCTGTTGTTGCTGTTGTTGCTGTTGTTGTTGTTGCTGCTGCTGCTGCTGCTGCTGCCACCACCACGACCACGACCACCTCCTCCTTCACCACAGCCACTACTGCCACTGCTCCTGCTGCATCTTGATCCATGCCACCACCACCGACCAGACCGCCTCTCTGCCGCATGCCCCCGGCAACATCTGGCTCAACTGCATGGCTCTCCCTGCGCTGCTGCTGTTGTTTTTGGCCCCGTTGCTGATGCTGTTTTTTTCTGTTGGCGCTGGTACGGGTGCTGGTGCTGCTGCCGGTGCTATTGGTCGTGGTGCTGCTATTGTCGGTGCTCCCCATACAAACAAGTATACATGTCCCATACACACACACTACATGGCACCGCAGCCCAGCCTGTCAGCTCACGCCCAGCACACGACAAGTGCTCGGCACCAAACACCACGGCAACCTGCCAGACGTTGCACTGCGGCGCTGGCTATTGCCCGGCCATCAACAATGAGCCCCTCGCCACAACCTTGCAGCGTCGCCTCGGATACAAAGTCTGACCTTGCTGCAACAACACGCACAGTTTTGCCATGCGCCCAATCACCGCCTGCCCGCTTGCTCCCTTGCCTCTTCCCCGTCGTGCATCCATGTGGGTCTGGCCCCACTACGTCAGCAAGGCCTTGTCCGCGGTCATTTGGCAACCATATACACACAAGTCGACTTACTGACCTCCCATCTACTTACACACAGCTAGCTACATGCTACCACGGAGCCCGTCTGTCCCTGCTGCCCACTTGCCATGCTCCACCACCACTAAGCGCCCTCTCCCCTCTCCCGAGCATGTCCCAGCATGTGCAGCACCCAAACACGCACTCTGCTCTACAGTCAGTACATGCTATGTACGCCTGTTGTATCTTTGTACCTACACACGTACACCAAGTATGTAATGCGCCCCACCACCACGGCACTAGCGTCGCGCTAGTGAGAATCGCCACCTGCTCAACGAACCATGCACGCGGCATACACTCAATTGGACACGCTCTCCAAGCTACTCTGCATTCAATGCTACACCACCTGCCTGCACTCTATTCAAAGTACACGCCTTCTGGCTCCAGCACCCGAGCCTCCCCTGACAAGTCGCTCTTGACTACCACCCGCGGGTCTTCCCTGCTCGCCTCAACCCTCTTGCCCTCAACTTCCTTCTCCTCGTACAACACTTCGACCACTTGGCCCTTATCAATCCCACCCTGCCCATGCCACTGCACCGGTTGACCCCTCTTCGGAACCCGCGTCTTGTCTCCGCCTGCCCCTGTTGGCTCCCCGTCACCTCCCCCTGTGTTCTTTGCTTTCTTGTTTGGGCTTACCGCGTTCGCTCCCCGCCCACGCTTCTTCCCACCCTCCTCTTCCTCATACGACCTACCGCCCTTGGACCTGCGCTCCTCTTGCTGGAACTTTCGATATTCCCGCTCATTGCTTTCCATATATTCGGGGTCGTCCCAGTGCGTGGTGCAGTCGCTGACGCTCTTCTTGTTAATCTTGACGTATCCCTTCGCAGAGCTGCACTCTTCGTCTGTGGCTGTCTCGTGTTTTTCGTCGACCCTGTCGTCGTCGTCGTCGTCTCCTCGCTTCTTGTGTTCCGATGCCATCATCTGCCCCTACAATTGCATGGCATTAATCAAATGCCCACTTCTTGCGCATATCGCCTCGTACCTTTGTAGCCGACCGCTGACTTGGCGCGCATTCCTTGCCCCCTCCCTGAACCTCCCCCTTGACTGGCTCGCGGACCTCTAGATCCCTATACTTGTCGTTCGTCTTTGAAGGCATAGCGACTGCTTAACTTCGAATGCTAAGGTGTAGTGGCACTGCTGTGAGCTGACAGACGTGGTAGACCTTTTCCACCAAACAGTTGCTGCGAGGCAAAACACGGCGCATTTTAAACAATCAATCCAACCGACAAATGCAATCATCTATCCAGTTTCAAGCCTCCTTCCACTGACGTATTCGTTCCCGGCACAAACAAACACCCTTTTCCTTTTTCTTCACGCCAGCCACCTCACATCAAGTACATCATCAAAAGCCCCCCCTCCCCAATTCGCGACGCGCCCAGATCCCCTCACGACCGTGGTACCACCAGCGTTTCCACCCTTCACAAGCGTACCGCAATGACATCAATGATATTTCAGCGTGATCCGCTTTTGGCTGGCGTAATAGCACGGTCATTGTGCTTCGATCGTACTAACGCCAATCGGTGTGGACCTCACCGTCTAGCCGCTGATCCCACCCGACGATAAAGTTCCCCCCTCTGGTCTGCCGCTATGCATTCTGCGCAGATATGCACGCCATGAGTCTGCGCTGCAATATCCTAGGCCTATTAGCTCTTTCAGCTGCAGTCCGAGACGTTTACCCTCCCGTATGATACTAGTCGTGGACATTAGTCTGGGCTTCCCAGATGCATGTGAGACTGACAGCGCCCATGGGAAGCGCGTCGCTCGGGCAAGAGATTTGTCGAATTATCAAGCGTGTAAATCGACATCCTACTTTCGCATATCATTGCTCCTACGCTAGTGGATTACGAAATAAATAAGCCTAGGGGTCTTGTGGACTGCTAAATCCTACTATCCGGGTCTGACGTCAAGTCCTCACTAAATGATTTTGAAGAGACACTTCTGCCCCCAAGGGCCGCCAAGTTAAAAGATGAGAGATTACCAATGATTTATGAAAATAAGGTGCTATTGAATTGTATGAAACGTCATGTCTCCAATCCTACAGGTAGCTGATTGTAATATTGTTTGTCCAGCTCATAGAAGGAACCGCCGAGTCTGTCGCTATACCATCCAGACAGAGGTTAGCGACCAACATCCCAGCCATTACAACCCTCTATGCGTCTGAACCCCGTGCAAGCAAGTGTAACGAAGGAGCGATGCGAAGAATTTCGCCTTCAAAGTGGGACACCACTTCAACCACGTACAACATTGCTGTCCTGGATGAAGCATGGAAATCTGGGACCAGAGACATTGCGGGAGATGATGGGTGGATGGGAAAAGTAATTTTGTAGGTGTAGATGAATTTGAATTTAGGACCTGCAGCTCAACACGCGAGAATACAAATGTCTCCTTTTTTTGTTAGTCTGATGACATTTATACTACATCTTGTAGGCCGACCCGTATTCTCGTCGCTTTTGAGTAGCTGGGACTCGGAGCATTCTACATCCACACCCAGTACTTACTTCAGCATGCTAATCCGAGTTCTCTTCAGATGCTGAGCGTAGGTGTGGCAATAATTCCAAGACATATCCAGGTTGATCACGTGCATGGAGGCGTGCGGGAGAGCGGGTAGTGTAGTGGATACGTACGGGAGCAGGAGCATGGGCCATTGGCCGCCAAGATGCGGGGAAAGCTGAGCTTCCCCCAACATGGAGCTCATGCAAGGTACACAGAGCTCTTGTACTCTTCTAGCAGCTCTCAGCTGATACACTAAGCCTTCATCTCTCCTTCAACCCACGCACGAAGCTCCACATTTGACAGCTTCATCTTATCAACCATGGGCGGAGAATCACATCGTATTATACCAGTGACGGTAGCCAACGACTACCCGAAGTTATCCGATGGTCCGGTCGGCAAGCAGATTCATAGCATCTACGAGAGCCGCTTGAGGCAGTTCTTCGATGGTGGCCAATACCGAGAACAGAGTCTCATAGGGTAAGCTCTCGGAGCAGTAGTGGCCACAACCCACAGGCCTAGGCATCTTATGCTTATACATCATATAGCAAGCTCACCGAAGCCGTCGCGTCGGGTCCCGAGTGGATCAAGCTATCCGTCTACTCGCCTCCAGATCTCTCGCGTCCCCTCTTCGATGAGGCGACATCACACGCGTTCCATCCGACAAAGGTCGGCGAATCCTTTGGCCCCAGTTGGTCGACGCACTGGTTCAAGGTCCAGCTCACCCTTCCCGACTACTTGCTAGACAAGGAACATCTTGAGTTCGTCTGGGACGCCAACAACGAGGGCTTGATCTGGACTGAAGATGGACGTACCGTCCATGGCTTGACGGGCGGAGGTGAGCGTACACAATGGATACTGCCCAAGGCGTTTAGAGACGGCAAGGAGCATACCTTCTACATTGAGATGGCCTGTAACGGCATGTTCGGCAACGCGCCTGGTGGCGACTCTATTCAACCACCGAATCCCGACAGGTATTACACCCTCCACACTGCCGAGGTCCAGGCTGTCAATCTAGACGCCAGAGGACTCTACTTTGACTTCTGGGAGATATCAGATGCCGCCCGTGAGTTCCCTTCAGATTCAACCCAAATCCACGATGCACAGCAGGTCTGTAATCGCATCATGGATACCTTCATTGCTGGCAACGGAAGTCGAGAGAGCATCAAGGCAGCACGTAAGATTGCTGCCGAGTATGTCGGAAATAATGTCGATTCACACAAGGTATACCAAGGCGACCAAGAAGCTATTGTCCATGGTATTGGGTACTGTCATATCGACACCTGTTGGTTGTGGCCTTTTGATGAGACCAAGCGCAAAGTCAACCGCTCCTGGTCCAACCAGTGTGATCTCATTGACCGCTATCCCGAGTTGCGTTTCTGCTGCTCCCAGGCACAACAGTACAAATGGTTGGAGCAATACTACCCATCCACATTTGATCGTGTCAAGAAGAAGGTCAAGGAGGGTAGCTTCCAGCCGATTGGCGGTAGCTGGGTCGAACACGATACTAACCTGCCTGGTGGAGAATCGCTAATCAGGCAGTTCTTGTACGGCCAGCGTTACTTTGAAAGCAAATTTGGCCAGCGTTGCCGCACCTTTTGGCTGCCAGATACCTTCGGGTACTCCTCACAGCTACCACAAATCTGCCGCATCTCAGGAATGACTCGTTTCCTGACACAAAAGCTTAGCTGGAACAACATCAACAACTTTCCCCACACCACTTTCAACTGGGTTTCACTCGACAACAGCCAAGTCATCTGCCACATGCCGCCCTGCGAAACATACACATGCGAGGCCAATTTTGGTGATGTCAAACGCAGTGTTACACAGCACAAGTCCCTTGACCAAGACAAAACCTCGCTGCTTGTTTTTGGAAAGGGAGATGGAGGTGGTGGCCCAACATGGCAGCACTTGGAGAAGCTGAGGCGATGCCGTGGTATAAGCGATACTGCCGGACTGCTGCCTCGCGTCAAGCTCGGTGACTCTGCCGATGACTTTTTCGACCGTCTGGAAAAGAAGGTGGCCAATGGCGATGAGTTGGTAACATGGTACGGCGAGCTGTACTTCGAGCTCCACCGTGGAACATACACCACCCAGGCAAACAACAAGCGCAACAACAGAAAGTCTGAGATTATGCTTAGAGATATCGAATACCTTGCGACATTGGCAACCATCAAGAATGGCTTCGGAAAGAAGAGCACATACAAGTATCCGAAGAAGGAGATTGATGACATGTGGGAGAATGTTTTGTTGTGCCAGTTCCACGATTGTCTGCCTGGAAGTTCAATTGAGATGTGCTACGATGATTCTGATCGCGTAAGTCATTGCCTATAACACCTCCACAGGATATTGCTGATTGCTATAGATTTATGCGTCGGTTTTCGCTACCGGGGAGAAACTGCTTTCTGACGCGCTGGCTGAGCTGGGCTTCAGTGACCACATCACCTGGAACGAAAACACCAAGCTCATGGCCATCAACACTTTGCCATGGAATCGCTGTGAGGTCATCAAACTTCCTGCTGGGGCACGCCAGTCTGTATACGGTCAAGAAGAGACCAGATATGGTCTCGCCTACAGCAATGGATCGAACAAGGGCTTTGGAGCCCTGGAAATCGCTCCAATGGCTTCCCGTATCCCTGAATCCAAGGCATTCATTGAAGAGATTCGCCCCAACGTCTACCAGATGCGTAACTCCCAGTTCGAGGTAGAGGTTACCGACGGCGCTATTACCTCACTCTTCGATATTCAAGCTAAGCGTGAGCTCATTCCAAAGGGCGCCAAAGCCGGCCAGCTTGTCATCTTTGACGACAAGCCACTCTACTGGCAGGCGTGGGATGTAGAAGTGTATCATTTGAAGTCACGCCAGGAGCTTAAACCCAGCAAAGTCACCATCACCGAGAATAGCATGCACCGGGTGAGCCTGGAAGTCGAAACCAAGATCTCAGACAAGTCGTGGATCAAAACAACAATGTCCCTGCCGGCTGCTGGTACCACTCCATCAGCCATTGAATTCGACGCAGAAATCGAATGGCACGAGACGATGAAGTTCCTCAAGGTGGAATTCCCCGTCGACATTGTCAACACCGAAGCCAGCTACGAGACACAATTCGGCATCGTACGCAGACCCACGCACTACAACACGTCGTGGGACATGGCCAAATTCGAAGTTTGCTGCCATAAATGGGCCGACCTCTCCGAAGCTACATACGGCGTCTCCATCCTCAACGACAACAAGTACGGCTTCGCAACCGCAGGAAACGTCATGCGTCTCTCTCTGCTCCGCGCCCCCAAAGCCCCAGACGCACACGCAGACATGGGCAACCACAAGACGCGCTACGCCATCTTCCCACACGAGGGCCCGCTGGACCACCGCACCATCCGCAAAGCCTTTGAATTCAACAACCCCCTCAAGATTGTGGGCACTAGTAGTACCCAGGACAAGCACGATGCCAGTCTCCTCAACCCGTTCCACATTTACAACGCTCCAAATCTTGTTCTCGACACTATCAAGCGTGGCGAAGACGACGAGGACGTATCGAGGGGCGAGTTGCCGGTCAAAAAGGGCCACAGCGTTATTCTACGCATTTACGATGCGCTAGGTGGCAAGAGTAAAGGTGTTTTGACGTGGGGCAATTTGAACGTGACAAAGGTGACCAAGGTGAATGCGCTCGAGGATGAAGAGGAAAATACCGAGGTGCTGAGGATTTGCTCGCTGAGAACTGGGGACGCAGAGGCTATGGAGACGGGTGTCGAGGTTGAAGTTAGGGCGTTTGAGGTGGCGACTTACAAATTGTTGCTTGGATGAGAGAGAAGAGAGGATTGGAAAAGAGGAGGAGGGGGGAAATGGAGTCTTGGATGTAGACGCTTCTTTTTCTTATTTTATGACGCTTCAGATTAGTAACGAGTAAATGCCCAATTCAAAAAAACCCCCCCCCCCCCCATATTGTATGGATGTTAGTTGTGCAAATTGGAAGAAAAAAGTATGGCAGAGACCAAAAGAAAACACCTAGATGCAATTCATATATGTACCATTGCCTTTGTGTTCCAAACTAAGGGTCAAAAAAAAAAAAGAGAAGCATCGTTTCCACCATCTAACCATGTGCAGGCCCAGTCCATGGACATGTATTTTTTTCGAGGATTAATCGACAAAAAAAGTTGGAAACAATAGCAAGTTTAATGAATACGATCCAGCTTGAGCCTGTTCCTCGCAATCTTGTCATCGACATTGTCCGTCTTGCCTGTGATGCGGGTAATGTGCTCATTCTGCTTATCGGCCTCGGTACCCATTGCGCGACCCAACTGGTTCAAGCTCTTGGCTGCAATATGGAGTTGGTCTGTTCACAGTTCACGTTAGTTACTTTTACTTCACATCAATGTGCAAGTTTGCTGTCCATGGAACAGCACAAAACCACATACCCAAGTTGTTCTCAATCTCATTCTCCATTTCATCGTCTTCAGAGTCGGGCTCCATCTGGTACTTTGATCGCTGGGCAAGCGAGGCCTTGTTGCCTCCTATTCCAGCACCAGCACTTTGGATTCCGCGCTGTGCTTGGTTTGCACGTGCAGCTGATTCCCAGGCAGCCTTGTTTGTTGCCTCGCGCGTCTCGCGGTCGCGTGTGTGCTGGTCCATGGCTCGTTGCATTTCCTTCTCACGTTTCGAGTTACCGGTGAAGGGGTTAGGTACGATGGAGAACATGCTTGCGTTGATTCCTAGAATAAATCAGTATTGGTGTTTGAACATCAGCCAAGATAAAGTACGTACGGGCGAGCTCCTTAGTCTGCCCTGAAGCCCTGTCACTTTGGATAGAGGCAAGATCGAGATTGCGTTCGGTGCTATAGCGATGTTAGGTGCTGCATGAGAATATGCTTGGTATTGTCGTACTTGTGGATGCGCTCTCCTTGTGCTGCCATGGTGGACAGAGTTCCTCGACCAGTCTCCAAAGCCTGCTCAGCCAGACGCAGAGCGTTTCTTGTGCTGGAAACATCCTGCTGCTTGATAAACTTGATCTCTTGTTTCGTGGCATTAATGTCTTCCTATAGTATTGAAGGCACAAGGTCAGCGCACATGTTGCGAGTGAGTGGTCCAGGGGAACTGACCTCTTCTTGTTCTTCGGCCGTCAATTGGCGGTCCTCGTAGGTGCCGTAGCCACCAGGGGTAGAGCCATACCCCCCAGCAGCACCACCACCGTATCCACCGCTCTGGCTGTCGCCATAGGCACCGCTCTGTCCATAACCGCCTGATTCTTGCTGTGGGCGTCCTTGTTGTCGTTGGGCAGCATTACCGAAAAGCTCGTTACGACCGGCGTCTGTGGCCATGGTGTCGTTCGAGGCAGTTCTTCCGAGTCCGCCGTAACCACCAGGGCGCTGGGGTGGACCGCCTCCGTATTGGTCGTTTCCGTATCCTGACTGAGCGCCGTAGCTACCTCCTTGAGCACCATAGCCACCAGGTCGTTGTCCATAAGCCTGGCCTGGTCCGGTTACCGCTGGCGTCTTCTCTTGTCGGAAAGAGCTATCCTGGCCGCCAGAGTATGAGGGAGGCGGCTGGGCATAGGGGTCGTTTGCTGGAGGGGCGGCATAGGGGTTTTGAGCTGCAGGGCTCTCTTTTCCCTTGCGGCTGCCAAAAAGGGCGGAGCGGTTGCTGTCTTCAGCCTCAGCACCCTTGTCCTTTTTCTTGCCAAACAAGCCCATGATGATGTATCAGAATGCGGAGACGTTTAACTTAAAAACAAGAGTGTTGGCTGCAGGTGTGAGGACGGTGTTTGTGCGTACGAGGTGGAGGTTGGATCGAGGGCGGGTGTTGGGTCGCTGTAGGGGTGAATGGATCGGGAAAGGCAGCTAGTTAATTGTGGGGTGCGTCTTATCGATTGCGCCAACAACAGATGTTGCGCTCCAAGATCACGACAGGATGGCGAGGCGTTGCAATTGAGAAATAAAAGGCAGTTTTGGCTGGATGTGTGTGTATATATATATGCAGGCCGCACGGGAGATGAGGGGTGTTTGAGCGACGGTAGGCCGGGGCGTCTGGTGTTTCAATCCATTCAAGCGCCCAGAAGAAGCTGACGCTATCTAGAAGGCGGAGTTCAGGTACGCCACCGCTCTGGTTGTGGCAGTGTACGCAGACATTTGCGGGCCACACCGATCATACGCTGGCAACGCTTGCTCCTTGGTAAACAGTTGAGAATATTCTGCTCTTAACTTGCCAATGCAGACTAACGCCACGGGGAGCCTCTCGGTTTACGCTTGAAAGGGTTGGGCTGCTTGGGCCCATAACTTTCTGGTCCCTGCATATTGCTACGACCACCCTGGTCATGCCACTCACGCAAGGCCCCAGTGGACATGCACATTCAGACCGAAAACAAAGCAGACATGTGCGCAAAAATAGAGCAAGAGAGAAAACAACAGCGAATCAGTGGTACATGTTGTCTCCTTTATCGGGGTATCTAAATGCTGCTTCTTGTCGCAACCATCTTATACTACACATAATACGGCCTTTGTTTCGTCGCCCGTCATCGCCTAACGCCCAATGCCCAACCAGGACGTCTGCTAGACTGTCCATACTGCACTATCTTCTTCGTGTATCCCCTCACCGTCGGACGATGGTAAATCTTCGTGCTCCTCCTTCGTCCTGATTTCATTTCCTGTTACCACGGGAAAAGACGTCAGAACCCGGCTGATATCGCCCCACCACACTTCGCCAAATCTACGATACCAATCCACAGTTATGCGAAGGCCTTCTTCGAAGCTTGTCTTGGGCTGCCATCCCAGCGCAGCAAGTTTCGATCCATCCGTTGCGTACCGCTGGTCGTTGAAGGGACGATCCTCGGTATACTGAATCCATTGTTTTAATTCGCTCGTCGTATCTCGCGAGATGCCGAAATTATCAAGGAGACGGTAGCAGATCTCCGTATTCGATATCTCATCCTTGGAGGCAATGTTGTAAATTTGTCCAATGTCACCCTTGTGCAAAATGGTGTCCAGAGCATCCACAATATCTCCTGCATAGAGGTAACGCCGCGTTGGTGAGCCGTCGCCGTGGAGGAGGAGCTTTCGCTTTCGCTGTAAGAGCATGATGAATTTGGGTATAATCTCTGCATCGCCATCAGACCTGTGCGTCACTTTCCGAGTGGAAACGTCACCTACTCTCGGGAAATTGATGTGGCCCGTATACATTGTTCGCCCGGACCGTAATTAGGGGTAGCTTGAAGCTGCTCCGGTATGCGCTGACCATCATCTCCGCCGCTGCTTTGCTGGCCGAGTATGGATTTGTGGGTGCTAGTATGCTCGTTTCGCCCAGGTCTGCTGCGCCAACAGGCACATCACCATACACCTCATCTGTCGAGATGTGTATGAATTTATTGACACCATGTTCCCTCGCTCTCTCGAGCAAGACATGTGTTCCATAAACATTTGTATGCGTGAACTCGTACGAGTTGCCAAAGCTGAGGTCAACATGCGATTGCGCCGCAAAATGGACAATGGTGTCGGTTTTGTGTCTACGGAGCACACGCTTCACAGTAGCAGGCGAGGTGATGTCGCCCTGCTCGAATGTGAAGTTCGGTCGGCTATCGAGAATGCGCGTGTTGTTGAGTGTTGCGCAGTAGTCCAATTTGTCCAAGGAAACCACATTATAGTGGGGGTACGTAAGGACTAGATGGCGTACGAACCAGCAGGCTCTGTGTCCATATCAGTCTTGCGCTCGTGATAGGTTCGAAAAGACGCACACGTCGCGCTTCCTGTGGTTTCGATGCGACGTACATGAAGCCGGCGCCCCCAGTGATCAAGATGTTCTTCGCATCTGCAAGTGGCTCAAAGTTGGTGCTACCCGTAAATACTGGAGCTTGTGTCCAAAGCTTCTCTTTGACATAACTCCTTGGATTGAGCACAGTCGAACTCCGGCGGCCTATCGTCAGTGGCAATGTCAGTGCTTGGCCTGGACTGTGTGTCTTGCATTGCATTGCATAGCGCACGTGGATACTTACGCTTCGTCCCATGGGTGCCATTTGGAACGTCACATACTTCGCTAGATATCTCCAAGGCACTCATACTGGCAACAACTGTTGATGCAGTCTTGCAGGAAGGATACGAGGTTTACGCGGCATGCTTGAGCGACGTCTGAACCCGGAATTGTTATTGCGCAAGCGCGCCCGGCCATCCACGTCGCATCAACCAACGATCGACGCTAGCCTGAAGCAGACGCGTAGCCGGAAGGATGCCTCACGTCATCGAGTCAGGTACTATGTAGAGTGAAGGTAACGCGTAGTTGTTCTTGGCTCTTTGCTATCTTGTATCGACATAGCTCGAATAGACGTAGAACATTGACTGAACCTCGCCAGACTACAACACCGTTCAAATGTCAATCATGAAGAGACATCCCAAGCAAGCTGCCGGTCAACAACAGGAGCATACAAGAAGGTAACTGACAGTGAGTTGATAAATTGTTGTGCTACTAGTGCTTCACGGAGAAGAAATCATTGTTGACTTTCCTGATACTTGACCAGCGCAAGATGCACTAGGCACTCTAATCTTGAAGTCTGGGGTGAAGTGATCCGATCACGTGCCGGGTATCTCCAACTCCGCTTACTTCCGTTTGGAAGTAGTATGCAAGCATCTCTTCGTTAAAACTGACAGCACTTAGCGAATTCTTAGTAAACCTCCGAGCACTCCCACATTTTATCGATGAGGGGCACAAGTAAGCTTGTGCGACGTAATGCTGCCCCATATCTACGTCCCCACGTTATATATAATCTGCCGTATATGCACTTCAGCTTAACCCCCATATAACGAGGCATACTTCAGCCATCATCATGGATTCCGCTGAACAAAGAGAGTGGTTCTTTCTTGAGAATTTAGGCCTACGAGTCACCCTCATACTTTTATCTGGAATCACCGCCTTGATTGTTGATTACAGCCGCATGCTCTATTTAAGAAAAAAGATGGTAACATTTTATACTGTTAATCTCACCACCGGATGTACTAAGAACTGACAGAACAACAGCCACCTGGCCCATTACCCTGGCCAATAGCCGGAAACACTCTCAGTCTCCCGAAAGAGAGGCCTTGGTACATGGTTGAGCAGCTCTCAAAAGACTACAAGTCCCCAGTAATTACGTTCTGGATTGGACGGTTAGTCCTCAGTCCGAATTATCGGGAAAACACCGCTAATAAATTATAGACGACCAACAATCTGAATTAACGATGCATGGGCGGCAGATGAGATCCTTGTCAAACGCTCCAACATCTACAACTCTAGACGACACATGCTCATGTTTGGTGAGCTGATGAATGAACAAGATAACCTCATACACAAATACACATACACCAACGAGCAGCGGGAGAGATTTCGTGTCCTGCGCAAAATCACACATCATGGTGTTGGAACACAACAAGTGCGTCATGCACAAGGTGACTTGGCCAAAGCTAAATATCAAAGGTTCAACAATACCGAGAATTTCAAGACGACAAGAACATGGTGCTGGCATACGATATCCTAAAAACACCTGAGCTATTTGCTTCACGTTTTGAACGCTACGCGGCGGGCGTTGTCTCTATTGTTGGATTGGGACGTCGTATTTCCAACAGTCAAGATACGTTGATTACGGAAGTCATCGCTCAGATGCAACATGCCGCACAACTCGCTGTTGTGGCAAAAGACTGGCTACGGATCATTGAGACATTTCCTTGTGAGTATCTCTATGTTTTTGAAAAAAATAAAACGAGAAAATATCTAATCATGTCTCAGGGTTGGTAAAGCTTCCCCGTAGTATCGCACCCTGGTTACGCAATATTAAACAATTTAGCAAAACAAAGTACGGTCGTGAGAACTTCTTCTACAATCTTGCCGCAGAAGCATAGGATACACCAGACGAAAACTACGCAAAATTCCTCTTTCGCGAAGCCCCACAATACAACCTTAGCCGCGGCGAAGTCTCCAGTCTTGTCTCCAATCTTTTTGGCGCAGGCGCAGATACATCCAGTAGCACTCTCATCACAGCTGTAATTGCTATGCGCGCCTTCCCTGAGACCATGAAACCTGCCTGGGACGAACTTGATCGCGTAGCAGGCCACTCAAGAAGCCCTACGCTTGACGATGAATTGCCTTATGTCCGCGCCTTTGCCAAAGTTTTCCGCTGGCGCGCAGTAGCCAACCTCGGAGGAAAAACTCATGCACCGACTCAAGACGACTACTGGAACTGCTACTTCATACCCAAGGGAACTTGGATACAAGGGAACGTATGGGCTATTCATCACAACGAGCGCGAGTTTCCGGATCCCGATCGATTTAATCCAAGACGGCGCCTCGACACGGAAGATCTGAGACCGTTTCCGGGAGAGAAGGGATACATGACGTTTGGATGGGGAGGAGGAGTTGTGCTGGTCAGGCGCTTGCTGAGCAGGGCACGCATCTCAGTGTTGCGCGCTTGCTTTGGGCCTATCACGTTGAGCCTGCTATCGACGAGAAAACAGGAAGTGAGATACCAGTTGATATCTTCAGCTATACGTAAGACTTTTATGGAACAACGATTGGATGTAGAGATGATACTAACAAAGGGCAGTAACGGATCAAATCGACGTCCTCAGCCTTTCTAGGTCAAGTTCACTCCTAGAAGCGAGGAGATTAAGAAAACCATTTTTCGTGAAGGGGAGGAAGCACTGATGCGTCTATCAAAATACGAGAGGCCGGCAAAGTATATGCTTGACTCTAGCAAGTAAAACCGGAATTTTGAAATTCGTCGACAAAGCTCACGTCTCCAAAGCGGGGTGTGTAGTATTGACAGAGTGCAGTCTCAATGATTATTAGAATAGCTAGCAAAAAAAGTCAAGTCCATAAAACATTCAAACTACGAGATAGACTAGATACTAGGCACACAATCTGTCAAGGAAACCGCAACAACGCAACCATTAAAAAAATCCAAACAAAACATTACCCAACCCCCAAAACATAAGACAAGAAAAAGGAAATGCAAACCCGTTCTAGAATCTAAAACGCCACAGTCAACTCATGCATAATACTTCTCCAACCACTCCCTCAAATCCCCAATCGTCGGATAATCCAAAAACAAACTTCCATTCACCTTGACACTCAGCTCGTTCTGGAACTTCTCGGACAACACCAGCGACATGAGACTATCAATACCCAAGTTGGCAAACTCTGCATCGTCGGTCAGCTCAGCAGCGTCGATACCCGTTTCCTTGGCGATAAGATCGATAGCTTTGTCAACAGTGGTGTTAGCAGCGCGGGGCGCAGAAGCAGACACATCGACGCTGGTAGCGGATGTGTTGACTGAGGCTTCGGAGGGGGTATCGCGGTCGGACGTGTCGCTGGCGGAGGACTGGGTGTCGTCTTCTCTAGGAGCGACGGGTACGACCGGTGCTGCCTGAACCGCTTGCACTTTAGGTGGTGCGGAGGGCTTGCTGGGAGCGGGTGGTGCGGCGGATTTGGCGGGTTGAGCGCTGCCCTTGGTGGGCTGGGGCGCGGTGAAGAAGCGGTTGAGGAGGACGCGTGGGAAGCGGCGGAAGTGGATGCCGCCGACCATGCCGACAATGGAGTTGTCTGCTGCGCTGAGGACGAAGACGTCGCCGAGGTAGACGGAGGGGTCGTCCTTGGTTGGGGTCATTTTGACGTAGGAGCGGTATCGAGCGCCGGGGGTAAGGGGCTCGGCGAAGCGCATGGTTTTCCAGCCCGAGGTCACGCAGTAGTTATTTGTGGTGTCGATGGTGTCGGAGCAATTCATGATGAAGCCGGCGAGATGGGCGACGCTGTCGATGAAGTAGGGGGGTACGGTGTAGGTTCCGTTGTCGACTTTGTCGCTGAGCTTCACTTCGGCGAAGGCTTCGAGATCGTTCATGACGACGGATTGCATGCCGCGGTACTTGTCCGCGTAGTCGACGAGGTTCTTTGCGAAGAGGGTGTAGGCCATGTTGCGAGAGAAGCGGTTGGCCTTGCCCTCGGCAGCGAGCTGCTCCAAAGACTCGATACGGTGCTGGACTAGATGTGCCATGGGACTCCAACTCGACAGCCAATCGTCTGCGTTGCCATACTCGAGATTGGCTGTTGCGAATGGCTCCGACAGGCTGCCATCTTCTTCGACATTCTGCCATGTCAAGTCAAGAGTACCACTCTTGATGTCGTTGGTACTGGCAGTGACCTGGATGGACTGGGGAGTGTCCATGGAGTGTTTCTTGGCGATCAGGGCACTGGTTACGTGCAAGTTGCTCATGTTCATGTCCACTCGCTTTGTCTTTGGGTAGAACTTGCGGTAGAGATACTCTCCCAGAGTGTATGCGATTTCGGCATGGATGGACTGTAAGCTTGTTAGCAAGTGACATACAGAAAAGGCTAGAACTTTAACTTACCGATGTGACAACACCACAGCTGTTCATCGAGTGTCCATGGGCAGCAGCCAAAAAGTCCTTCTGCATTAAGTCCGACTGCATGATCACAGTGCCCTGGTCTCCATTCACATCTACTGAAATGATGTTCTGTACCAAAGAGCTCAAAGACTCATATTTCTTGGTATTGCCAACTGCAGGCTCTGCCGCCTCGACCTTCTTGTCGTAGAAGGTATTGCCCTTGGTCAAGCACCAATCGCCATTGTATTGTATCCAATAGTTCTTCTCATCACAAGCATATGTAGGAAGATCAAGAAGACGCACTGCATCCGCAAAAGGACGGTGGAGCTCATTCCAGTCCACATCAACGCCATCGAGATGAATAGCTGCTGCGCTCTCGGAGATGGTCTTCCAATTGTTGTCTCCACGGCGAATGGACGGGACGGCGGTCTTTGTCGATGGGAAAATGGACTTGATGAATCCGACACAGACAGGGTGAGGACCCATCTCCATGAAAACAGTCTCTTTATTGATGATTGACACATCGCAAGCGTTCTTCGCAGCGGACAGGAAGTCAACCGTTGCTCGTGTAGCATTTCGCACGTAGCTGGCGTTAAGCGACCGTCCGTCAAAGACGACCTTGCCGAGAAGGGGTGAGACAACAGGAAGCTTGGGCTCGTGGAAAATAACACCACTCTTGCTAATCGTCTCGAACTCGTCGAGGATCGGGTCGACCTGTTCGGAGTGGAATGCAAATGCCACGTTAAGCTTGATGCAACGGAACCCAGCTGCCTCGAGATCTACAGCGATGTCATCCATCTGTGCCTTGGTGCCGCTTAGAACCGTGTCAGTGGGACCATTGATACAAGCCACAGTGTGTGGCTTGCCATTCGATGCGCCGATGATAGACTCGAGAGACGCGCGAACAGCCATCATGCAGTGGCTGCCCGGAGTGCATGACTTCTGGAGCATCAGTGCCCGACAACCAACCATGTAGATGGCATCGTTCGCACTGATGACTCCAGCGACATGCATAGCTGCATACTCGCCGAGGGAGTGTCCCATGACAACATCAGGTTTGACGCCCAAAGAAGCCCAGTAGTGGGCTAACGCAATCTCGAGACAAACCAGGGCTAGTTGGGTGATGACAGGAGGGTGCTCGTGGTCGCGTGGGTGGGAGCCATCCAAGGCTGGGATGAATGAAGGGAAGCCTTGGGCTTGAGCAAGTCTGTCGAGATATTGAATGTGCTCTCGGAAGACTGGTGCTTCGTGGTACAGTTCGAGATCCATCGACTGGTACGAGGCGCCCTGGCCAGTGAAAACAAATGCCATTGACGGCGGGTTGGTTTTGTTCAAGGGTTTCAAGGAATCAACCTTGTTAAGCTGTGTTGACAGTTGCTTCTTCACTGAAGCAAGATCCGTAGCACTAACTGCGACCCTGTACGAGTGGTGGTACTTGCGCGCAGTCGTGGTATAGGCGAGATCCGAAATGGAGACATCAGGGTTTCTATCGAGATACACAAGGAGACGGTTGATGTTGTTGCGCAAAGAGGTCTTGGTCTTCGCAGACACGGCGATGACATGTGTTGGCCTGGTTTCCTTCTCGCGTGCCACCACGACTGGAGGTGCTTCCTCCAAAAGCATCATAGTGTTGCCGCCAGCAGCTCCGAAGTTGTTAACAGCCGCGATACGCTTCTTCTTGCCATCACTCTTCCATTCGGTCATGGAGAACGGGATTGCGACATTTCGCTGATCCAGATCCTTAGGTAAGCGTGGGTTAACCTCTGTTTTGATGCCGATGTGTGGAGGAATGGCATTCTTCTGCAGCATCAACAAGACCTTGATAAGTGCTGTAGTCCCAGCCACTGATTCTCCGTGGCCGACATTTGACTTGGCGCTTCCAATGTGTAGCTTCTGATCAGACCTGCGGTTGGGAAAGGTGTTTGGAGCATACACGTCTAGGACACCCTTCATCTCCTCAAAATCACCAGCTTGAGTGCCGGTACCGTGGAGCTCTACATATGAAACGTCCAGCGGATCAATACCTGCCTGCCTAATGATCTGGCGCGACAAATATGATTGATGTCCTGCATGGGGATGGGTGATGGAGACAGCCTCTGCCGAATGGTTGGTGCCTGCAGCAAGGATAACACCAAGAATGTTATCCTTATCAGCTTGTGCATCTTCGAGCCTCTTGATGACAATCGATCCCACGCCATCAGCGCGACAGTAGCCATCAGCACTAGCGTCCCAAGTTTTGCAGGCGTTGTGGCCCTTGGTTAGGAAGTGACCCTTACTGAGACCAGTAAAACCATCGGGGTTCGTAAGGATGTTGACTCCACCTGCTACAGCAGTGTCAACTTCACCACTCCAAAGAGCTTGACAAGCGACCTAAGAAATTTTTAGTATAGTATTATCAAGGGCTCAGGATATCATCTACTCACTTCGATAGCCGCGAGACCTGAGGAGCAGGCGGTGTCAATGCTGTAGCTGGGACCGGCAAATTTGAAGAAGTAATTAATTCGACCAGGTCCAAAAGCACGGCATCCTCCTGGAATGTAATAGGTTCCGACTTCCTGTCCTTGGTTTACCTCGCGATAGTCGTCAGCTGCTTGGCCGTAGTATGTTCCGATGCGCTGGAGCCTGGTCGACTGGGTCCTGTTGGCAACGTAGCCTGCCCGTTCCAATGCCTCATACGCAGTGACAAGCGAGAGTCGCATCTGGGGATCAACAACCATCGCCTCTCGAGGTGACATGTTGAAGAAACTTGGGTCGAACATTCCCGGTTCTTCGATGAAGCATCCGTATTGCGTCATTGTCTTGTTGAGATCCTTGCCTTCAGGGTCATAGTGCGTATTGATGTCGAATCGGTCTGCAGGTATCTGGCGAGACACATCAAGCCCTGCTTCAAGCACTTCCCAGAATTTCTCGGTATCCGTTGATCCGCCTGGAAGCCTGCAAGACATTCCCACAATGGCAAGTTTGGATTGTGCTGGACCTCGGGGGGTTACATTCTCAGTAGCATCCTTGAGAAGCGCCGACATGTAGGTGTTCAAGGAAATAGAAGTATCCTTGGATGTCTTTTGCAACTCAGAACGCAGATCATTCAATGGAATGGAGTTGCCAAAGCAAGACAGCCTGATTTGAGTTCGGTTGTTCTGCTTAGCGTATTCAACCTCCTGTGCAATAACTTTGTCCCACTCAATAGCCTTTGTCAAGAGCTCTGCTACAACGCTCTTGATCAGTTCTGCGGGGCTGGATGATATGTATGGAGTACCGGAGCTTGTCGAGAAAAGTGGAAATCTTGGTTCGTTTTGCGAAACAAGTCGATCCGATGAACTGACAACGTCTTGAACAATAGCCTCGATGTCGTGAGAGTCGTATATGTGGGGAGCATGACAAAGACCTCCATAAACAGGCAGTGCAATGGACTTGGCGTCTCTGAATGCTGTGGCCTTCTTGAAGAGATTTTCAAGTTTTGAAGGTGGGCCACTGATTGTGACAGATGTTCGGCTGATGGCGCTGATGAAGATACGACTGGTATCCGAACTGGGCACTGCTTCGTGGTATGCTTCTAGCTCCTTTTTCGTCTCTTGGGGATCAACGTTATGGACCACATAAGCCCATGTCTTTGGGGGTTCAGCCGGGTCTCGAGCTTCTAGATAATGTGAAACGCCTTGTACATGGACTCCCATGCGGAAGGCGACTGTGATCGCCTGCACACCGTAGAAAGCTAGTTCAGAAATGTCTCGAGCTAGAGCAACCGCGGTAGCGGAAAGCAAGCCGACGCCCAGACCCGTGAGGTGCTTTTCATCGTGCGAGAATGTTGAATCATTACTGCTTTCAGCATTACTGCAAGAGTCAGTCAGAGAGCAGAGAACTTTTTGAAAAAACTCACAATATGTAAACCGCGAGTTGAACGAGTATCAGCAGAACTCCATCGACCGCGCCACATAGTTCACCCTCGCGGAGCTCCTTCTTCTCTACCCAAGAGATGAGAGTATCGAAGGTAGGGATCTGGTTTTTCAAAGTTGATGGGAGTCTTTCAATCTCTTTCTTGACTGCTCTTGTTGCGTCTCTGAGGAAGCGGGCTAGAATTTCGTGCTCGGTGGTCTTGCTTTGGTTGTGCAAGTGTCTGAAGATCTCCGAGAGATCATCTTTAGGGAACTCATTACTGAAATATACAACCTCCATGATGACGCAAAATCCTACAAGGAGTCTCTAGAAGCTAACAATAGTCTATTTCAAAACCTGAAAGCACAAAAGACTAGGAAATGATGGTGGGTGTGAAGTGAGAAATTCCACGCATGCTACCTGGAGATATAGGTATTCAATCCATCTTGTTGCGGGAACGCCAACCAACCTCGGTCCATATCCGCTTCTGATATCCGTATACACGCAAGACCAGTGAACTATACCATACTACGGGGCGACTCCACCGATGTCCAGTTAAGCTTGCTTAGTCAGAACGAACCCCGAGCAAAAATACACGTGACATAGGAGATCATCACTCGGAAGAACTAGCACCCAGGGATCTCCGATGATGAATTCCGAAAGTGTCGACCACGTTGTCGGGTTCTGTACCACGGAACATTCGGAATGATCCGAATTAGGATACGTGCCGCATTCCACCGAGTGAGCCTCTACTAGCAATCTTAGGCCCCCGTCATCAGCCCGAATTCCACACCAGTGTATTCCATAGAAAGTCGAGCCGATACAAGCGATGCGAGATATCATAGCAATGTTTCGGAATACTCGTTCCCGACTACCGCGATCTATGACTCCTATCTACTTTCAATGCGCATCTAGGGCTGCTGGTGTGTAGTGCGAACCAATGAGAACCAAGTCGGTTTAATGTATCGAAAATGGCAGAAAGCTTGCATTATGATAATAAATATTCCCTTTACTCTAAAGGCTATCGTGAAGAAAGAATACATATCAGTAGTTAAGAACGGGGCGCAAACATATTGTCACTCAGACAATCGTCTGCTCAAGCACCTTGATATTCCAATTCTCTTGTGCTCATTTCAAACATAAAATTTTCTCCATCATCTCGACCAGTCCAGTCATGACGGACGATAAAGGGGGCTACAAGCAGATCAACAAGTCGCTCAACATCTGCGCTTTCGAGGACTATTTGAAAGGCCAGACCGCGAACCTCGCCCCTATACCTGATGTGGAGCAAGTGACAGAAAGGGTTTTACGAGTGCGGGGTCAAAATCCGGGGAAGTTCACCTTCCAAGGCACCAATACCTTCTTAGTTGGAACAGGAGCCTCTCGCATATTGATCGATACATCCGGAGGAGAGCCTGAGTATGCGAAGCTGCTTGCATCAACCCTTGAGTCTCGGAACATTAGCATCAAGTATGTTCTTGTAACACATTGGCATGGAGACCACTCCGGGGGTGTACCGGACCTTATCAGAATGTATCCGCACTTGAAAGATCACATCTACAAGAACGATCCCGATCCGGGCCAACAAGATATCCACGAAGGGCAAGAGTTTTGTGTCGAGGGGGCTACTGTTGTAGCACTGCACTGCCCGGGGCATTCAGAAGATCACATGTGTTTCATGCTCAAGGAAGAGAACTCCATGTTCACTGGAGACAACATTCTCGGTACCGGGACGAGCGCGGTCGAAGACTTGGGCATATTCATGTCCAGTCTGCACAAGATGATGGATCAGAAATGTCGAGCTGGCCACCCCGCCCATGGCGTTACTATTGATGATCTAAACACAAAAATCAGCCGAGAGCTATCGTCAAAATACAGGAGAGAGAAGCAAGTCATCAGGGCCTTGCGCAACCTCCGCGATTACGGGCAAAACCGACCGGTCGTTCGTGACATTGTCGAAAACATATACGGAAACTCGGTGGATGAGACTACGCGTACGTTGGCGCTGGAGCCGTTCATCGACGAAGTTCTTCGAAAACTTGCTGGTGATGGTAAAGTGGGTTTCCAGGTTCGCGCTGGCCAGAAAAAATGGTTTCTAATTGGTAATGAGCAATCAACGGTGGGTGGGATGCGGCAGGTCCAGTACCCTGTCACACGCGCCAGCGCTTAATGTTAAGTCTTAGATTAGATTTTCGATGAGCATTTTCTTGATACCAGCGTGTTTTTAGATGTATTTAGACAGAATGTACCATATCAAGTCGTTCTTTTTCCAGATATCTTATGGGACTTTGTGATGATGATGATTTCCTGGGTTGCGACTAGTACATAAAGTCCTATCCTACTATCATTTAGATACTATTCAAGGAGTGTGGTGGCGAATTCTCATACTTGGTGTCATGTCATGTATGGATAGTTAAGTTGCTCTAAAAATTCTCATCTCCCATGTGCTGTACTGAAAAAAGGAGAAATTAGAGTTCAGGAAATCATGAAAAACAGCGGCTACAAAAGCAAAGTCACATCTCTACTAATGCAAGCAGTGAATTCACTAGAGGACGTTCGGTGATGAAAGTCAAGATTTCTATTCAACTAGCTTATCCAAAATCCACAAATGAAGAATCTAGTAAATATGCAAAGCTCTAACCATCGCCATACTCCTTTTCATCAAATAGTCGCCAAAATTGAGAAAAAAAAGTGCACGACCTCTAACGAAATGAAGCGACAGCACTGAGTACAGCACCAAGAGCCACAAGTGCTGCTCGAACAAAGTTCATTCCCTTCCACCTCTTCAACATGACTCGAACTTCCTCATCGCTCACCCCAAGGTCCTTCGCTTTAGTTCCCTGCTCGACCATTCCACCTAGTGTCAACAATCTCTTGTTAACCTGGGGTTCCATATATAGCAATGTATACGGGACAATCAGAGGTACAAAGATCGCTGCTGCTGCGTACAAGGTAAATGGTGATGCAACATTGCCGACCAGATTGGTGTCGTTTCTAGAGCAATAGGCAGAGTATCCATTGCATAGAGTGACAGTAATGGCGACCAGAGGCGATGTCGCTTTTCCAATGTTGTACATGGTCTTGAACTGATGCACAAGTGTGTCGACTGGAGCTACGCTGAGTGTTGGCACTCCGGCATGACTGAAGCACACGATGAAGCCTAGGAAACGCCCGCATTAGTTTTGCCCTGTTGTGTTTCCTCTTTTGCCCGTTTTCGCGACATGGTTCAAATCACATTACAAGATAGATTTGCGTAGTGAATCCACCTTACTCACGACGTGCATACTCACCTGACAAAAGCGCTGCACCAGTTACACCCCAGGCGTGCGCGACTTGAACGAGAGTGTTCTCCATTCTTCGGACAAATTTGGTTCTGAATCAGATATGCTTTGCGACTATCGGGGATACTAATAGCGGCGTCGGTTTCCACTAGATGCGATGCAACCATCCAGCTCAAGCCATCGTCGTCACGCCTCTTATCTGCATCGGATGCAGAACGTCTGCGGAACCTTTTCCCATCATACCGCGCTGGTTTGCGGCTCAAAGGGCGTACATGCAACCCTATCTTTGACGTTCGGTAGGCCTGGGTCGCGGTTTTCGGAGGAAATCTCACTCGCGGATGAACGTCGGGACAATGTGGATCGACACAATATTTCAAGAGAAAAGAAGAGTTCCGAAAATTGTTCCTTACCCTCTTGAAGCCTACAATTCTCCGCACGATCATCCCTATAAGGATACTTGTTCCCTTGAATCGTGTTATCGGTGCCAATCATACAATTGTGCTTAGCTCTGGGTTGCATTAACGTAATCAAATTTAAGCAAGCAAGTAAAGTACTGTTGTCTTGTGGTACTCACCCTACTTATCCTGGCATCAATTATCGCTCAAAATGGCTGCTTTGGATATAGCGTTTCACATCATACCTTTCATACATTGGGGCATGATTGTATCGTTGTTCATTGTATCGGGTATGTTATTCTAAATAGAACGGAGGAAAACGAAGTGTACCCATTTAACATGTTGTTTAGGAATAGCATGGTCCTTCAACCTATGGGTCGTGCCGATCATTAAGATGAACCCATCGAAAAGCGCCATCGCACAGCTATTAGAGACATCCCGACGCGGCGGAGCTTGGCTGGAGCCATTGAATGCAAGCTTTGCATTTTTGTTTGGTATAACGGCTGCTCTGATTTCGCAGCACCCTGATCCAAGTGTAGCTTCACAGTGGAAGCCGTTTGCGGCCTCTTTTGCTACGCTGCTTCAAGTAGCATGGTGGGAAAGAGTGATGATCTTTCCGCTTGAGGGATCAATTGCGAATCTAGGAAAGGGCAAGGAAAAGAGCGGGGGTGCTGAGGGAGCTTGGATGGACCATGAGACCAGCAAGGTCCTGCACAAGTCTCTGGATGAGTGGTCTCGATGGCATGCAGTCCGCGCAACGCTGCCATTGATCGGATCGCTGATCGCATTTGTCACGAAGCTTCAAAGTGGGGTTTGACTCGGGGATTATGGAAATGAAAATGGACAGCGAAAAACGTCTCGATGACATGCGTAAGCTGGTCGGAACGATAGTGGAGGTGTAAGCAGGGACTAGTCATGGGTCTTGGCTATCCGCAGTACCCCAAGAATGTAGATAGAGTGGAGAACAGCTGAACAGCTGATGATCACATTAGTTCGAGCCTGCATGATAGTGATATCACATGGGCGCCGAGCATCAGCACAATTAAATATTGGTAATATAAGCGAGTATACCGAAGATACCATTGGTCATCCGGTTTATTTATTCGCGTACGAATTCTCGGTGCACCGTTCTAGTTTCCCCGACGTGTCGTTACTACTACTGGAAATGCACACAATCGGTCCGATATATGGATTTGGCGGACTTATTAGCAGAATACTCGGCTGTCCTTCGTCTTTTGACCATTACTCTTTAGGAATTCTCGCGAGTAAGTGACAACGTTCCGCTATACGTATGTACATACGTACATGTGTACGCAAGCAGATCATTCTCCGGGATGTTTTGCGTAGGCACGGGGTACGAGGTCATTGCGCACCCTAGAATTGAATCAACCCAAAGGGAATAGTAAGAAATGCATGAGTATTGAAAGGCTGATCCTAGGAAAAGCACCAAAATGTTGCCTAACGCAATAAGAGATGGTAAAATCCTGATGGATGCAAAACGCGAACAAGTCACATCCTCCAGGATCCGACTGTACTTGGAATACAATACTATTGGCATTGGGGTACTCATTGTATACGAACTGCATCGAAAGACTAGTCAATCTTGAGCACTCCACCTCAGGATGATGCATTTATTGAGACAATATAAGAACCTTATGCTACAGCGCGCTAATGCCTGGTCAATTAAGTCGTATTCATGGTTTACTGCTAGAAACCATGCAGTACTATTACTGTTCAAAAATCTTCGCGTAATCACCCTCGGACCACCGAATACCAGGTTCAAGGCCCGCGAACTTCCACTCGCCATCGACTTGACGATAGTGTAAAGTAGCATTCCCGTGCGCATGACCCTTGTATAGCACCTGCGTCAGCGCATCATCCTCATACTTTTGATGCGCTACACGCATCTGATGGTGTCCGATAATGTAACCTGGTTCTTTCTGGATCCACTTTGTCTGGCCCATGAAATGTTGGGTCTTGATGCGAGCATTACCGAGAAACCTGGGGCTGGAAGCCATGCCGAGGAACTCTGCAGCTGGCATCTTTTCCCACATCATTCCCATTACGGTGCGGTAGTCAATCTGGGAATAGCTTCAGTTACTGACTCGCAGATAAGAAATGGGTTGCCAGACTTACGTAGAGTTCTGGTGCGAGGCATCTTGAAAGACGGTCCCAGTCTTTGCTATCGTAACTCTCAGCCCATTCAAATGCGGCAGCTTGACATTCGATGATGTCTGTAGCTAGCATATTAGCATTGGGCTATGATTAGAAGGCGGTTGGAATCAAAATATTACCTGCTGGAGCTGGTCTGACTTCTGTCTTGTGAGGCATGGTGTTTCCCTACAAATTTCTTCCTAACTAATTTTTGGATTATTCTGTGGATGCGAATACTAACTTGCATCCACAAGAGTACATTTTTGTAGGAATTTTTTCTAAGTTGTGACGGCCGGACATCGGTTAATTCTGTATAGTCTTGTTGCGATCGCAGGCTTGGCAACGGAACATAGTAGTAGTATCGGGAACCGATCTGACTCAGCATTAGCCCGAGCCCAGTTTCAGTCGTCGGGAGTCGGAGCAATCATAATCACTGTTCATTGGACAAGAGTGCAAGGGGATTGCATTTTCTATGGACGAAGCATTGAGCACTGTGCATGAAGAAGTAAAGTCATGGGTTGATAGGGAAAGACTCTAATTAGTAACGTTAGAAATTTCGAAAATGTGTACATCTGATTGCGAAGACAAAGTCTCAATATTTTTTTCCAATTATTGATATATTTCACTCGTTCGCGAAGCAGGTAAGGTTGATATTTCAAGACAAACTTCATGTAATTGCGTATCACTGGGTATTATTCATGATATCCGCAAAACACAAAATTGAAACAACTTTCTCTTGGAAATCAAGCACATGATCATGTTCCCAGAATGCAATTTCAATTTGGTATTCATTATTCACACTACTGATAGCCAGACATACGATACAAGAAAACCCCAAAAAACATGGCATAACTACGCAGGGCCCGTGCCAGATGGCAAATAAGGGTACAAGAAAGGAAAATAGTACGACAACAATCCATAAATGATGCACTTTGGCGTACCCCTGGGAAACTTGGCCTTGCCACCTGCATTCACTACGCCAACATTTTTGTTGTCCCACTTGCCCTCGTCGTCCTCGGCTGTTTCAATCATACCAGCCGCAATATCGAGGTATGAAACAAACGACTCCTCGTCATCCAAAGTGAGCCTGTGACCCCTCTGCACATCTACCGACAAGCCTCCTGGTTTGATATAAACGCACTTGACCCAGTCTTCGTGCTTTCGGAGGAACTCTTCAGCAAGCTCCAAGTCCCGGTACACATGCCATGCAGATCGGCGAACAATGGCGTTGACCCAAGGGTTCTTTCGGCTGATCCAAGGATCGATAGTAGCAGAGGACAGCAATACCAGTCTTGGCATCGGTGGAGCCTGGCTTCCCTCAGACTTTGTCTTCTCTAGCGCTTTGATGACGGTGTGCGCGAGGTCTTGGCTGATATGGCACCCGGGTACGTTGTCGTTGGTGGTAGCGGTAAGAAAGACGGCTTTGCAACCATACATTGCCTTGCCGAGCAGATCGGCATCTAGAATGCTACCTGTGTAGACTTCGACCCTGGAGTTGTTTGCGGCTCCGGGGACTAGTCTGAATAGCTTGTCTTTGTTGCGGCAGTAGGCTTTGACTTTGGCATCGGTGTTCTTGATGAGAAGCTCTAGGAGGGCAGTGCCACAATTGCCAGTGGCACCGAGAACTGCATACGACACCATTTGGGGAAAATATGAATTGTTTGTTTGAATTAAGTTGAGGAGAGAGCCACTCCGCTTGGTCTAGTAGTTGCTTTGGAGATTGACTGACCCAACTCCATGTTGTTCATTTTCGATGGTATTTAATAGAAATGATTTTGGAAGTTCTACAAAGATTACGGGCATCATGCAGGGTTCATTGGTTCAAAAGATCCACCGAGAGAATACCATCAGGCATGCTGATCACCGGCACATAGATCTCTGGAATTGTAGCGCATACTGCTTTTCCGAATCGAAGTGGCTGTCAAGGTCAAATCACAGTTCTTCTATGGAACATTATTACCATCTAGCGCTTAGTCGACTCGGAGATCATAATCCGATCTAGGATAGCTCTGGTATTGAGCCTTGACAAAGCGACTTGGCTCGTTCCGACGACCCCCGATCGGGAGAAACCCATCGTTCCGTAGTACCGACGCATGAACCCGAGGCCCCGGAACAACCACACCCAGCAACCACAACCCTCCAAACCTAAACATCGGAGGTCGGACTAATGATTATCTCGTGTACATACCTTTGCTACGGTATACTGCAAGTAAGCAAGGCTGGAAAAGTATATACAATGGGCCGCCTCAGAATCCATCTACGGCCTGTATCAGCCTGGCAAGAGCACATGAGCTATACATAAACTCTTTACCATTTCACAACCACACAGCATCCAACAGCATCTTACTCTCCAATTCAAGTTTTCTACCTCTATCTCTCTCCATTTTTCAACCATCAAACCCCATCTCCAAAATGCCACACGTAGAAAGCACACCCTCCACCTACATCCCCGGCCGCCTCGACGGCAAAGTCGCCCTCGTCACTGGCTCCGGCCGCGGCATCGGCGCAGCCGTAGCCACGCATCTGGGCCGTCTAGGCGCCAAAGTGGTCGTCAACTACGCCAACTCGACCAAAGATGCTGAAAAAGTCGTCTCAGAGATCAAAGCGCTGGGCAGCGACGCCATCGCCATCAAAGCCGACATCCGCCAAGTCTCAGACATTGTCCGCCTCTTCGACGAAGCCGTCGCGCACTTTGGCCACCTCGACATCGCCGTCAGCAACTCTGGCGTCGTAAGCTTCGGCCACTTGAAAGACGTGACAGAAGAAGAATTCGACCGCGTCTTCAGCCTCAACACGCGCGGCCAGTTCTTCGTCGCCCGCGAGGCATACCGCCATCTGACCGAGGGCGGCCGCATCATTCTCACTTCCTCAAACACGGCCCGCGACTTCAGCGTGCCCGAGCACTCGCTCTACTCCGGGTCCAAGGGCGCAATCGACTCTTTTGTACGCATCTTCTCAAAGGACTGTGGCGATAAGAAGATTACGGTTAATGCGGTTGCTCCCGGGGGCACGGTGACGGACATGTTTCATGAGGTTTCGCATCATTATATTCCGAATGGCCTTGAGTATACGGCTGAGCAGCGTCAGCAGATGGCTGCGCATGCGTCGCCGTTGCATAGGAATGGGTTCCCGCAAGACGTGGCCAATGTGGTGGGATTTTTGGTTAGTAAGGAGGGTGAGTGGGTGAACGGCAAGGTCCTTACGCTCGATGGAGGTGCTGCATAAGTAGAAGATTTTTGTCGAGCAGCATTTTGGATATAAACCGGAATTCTTTGGTTAGATTTAAAATACATTGTTTCCTTTTGTTTTTTTAGATCTTCGTTCGCTACGAGTGATTCAGTCGTGAAGCTAGATATCGAATGGCTTGCCTGTTTTTAAAAAAAACTTATCTTGCAACCAATTTTCTTTTCTTCGGTGTGAGATTGCGCTGTTGAGGTAAAGTGGTGCAATCGAAACATGTCAATAAACATCATACAGACTTGAATTTTGCAAAGAAAAAAAAACAATCGACAACACAAGACAAGGGGACCCCAATTAACCGTCACTAAAATAGCCGCTGATGCCCCGAAAAAAAAACCCCGTGGAAACAAATCTTTGTTTCCTCTATCGCTCATGAACAATCAAGTACGTAACTCTCGTAGCAATATCCAATATCGTTTCCTCATGCACCAAAATCCAACCGCACGGCACAATATTCGTCAATATCTTTACTTTTCTTCAAATCACTGTTTGGGCCATTAGTTGCTTGAAATCTAAAGTATAAAAACTGTATATCTTGTATCTTAATCTATAAAAACTTGGTATTAAACATTTGGTATCAAAGACAAAAGGTTTTTACCTTGTTTTCTAAAAAAAAAAAGGAGTAGAAGAAAAAGACGCCTGCAAATGCCGCAGTAACGAGCAAGAAAAGAAGGAAAGAAAAACATTCAAGTCGTAGTATACCACACCTCTCACCAATCATCCACGACCTCCTACTGCTCCGCCTTCTTACTCGCCTTGGTCCTCAACTTCATAAAAAAATAAACAAGCGCATACCCGCTCAACGAGAAAATAACACAAATGCCCGCATCCCTCCATCCAAAATACTTTTCCGTCAAATTAACAGTAGCAAGGTAATCCCTACCCCAAGTATACTGACAAACGCGACAATCCGCCGTAGCCTCCGGATTAACAAGATTCGTGCGTCTACCCGGGCCCTGGAGCCACGCCTCGAGGTACTCGCCACAAGTCTGATTGCCGCCACCAGGGGGATTAAAAATGGCAAACTCACTCTCCTTACACTCAATCTTCCAGTCCCAGTCGGTAAACACGAGCAGCGAGCCAATGAGGTACTTGAAAGGATCGAGGTAGTAGATCCAGTAGCGCCAAAACTCCTGGATGTTATCGTACGGGATGAGGACGCCGCAGAAGCAGCACAGGACGGCGAGCAGGAGCGGGTTGACGAGCGAGGCGAAGACAGCGTTGGGGGCGTAGGCAGCGACGAACTGGCCGAAGCCCGTGTAGATGAATTGGTAGATAAGGAAGACGAAGAAGACAGCGCCGGCACTGCTGGGGTCGGTGGGCAGGCCGGAGGCGAAGTAGAAGACTAGATAGTACAGCACTGCGCAGATGACGAGGTACGGCATCTCGGAGACGATGAGTGCAGTGACAAAGGCTTGCCAGGAGTACATTTTAGATTTCTTCTCGCGGGTTTCGTAGACGTCGCGGCGCTCGAGGAAGATGGGTTGAAGCTGGGCGATTACGCCGGGCGCGACGAAGATGTATTGGAAGATGGAGAAGAGGATATATTTTTGGTCGCCAACTGAGGGCCCGATTTGCCAGAAGGTGAAGCCGATGAAGAAGGCGACGCCGCCGTGGAGGAGAAGCTTGTTGTTGAAGTAGGCTGTGTCGCGGAAGAAGCTGACGTTCATGCGGTGCGTGACAAGTTTGGTTTGTGTCCAGAAGGTTGTGGCGAATTCGTGGCCGTCATCTTTGGTACCGGGTTCTTTGCTCGCGGCGTCAGAGATAAGTTCGTTGAGGTGTGTGTTGAGGGCTGCAGATTCGGGCGAGTTGAGCCAGACTTCGTGCCAGTCTTTGCCGCTGGGGTGGTAGCCGCTCACGACGTCGATCATGTGTTCTGCTGGGTTGGCGCCGCGGGGGCAGGGTGCACCGTAGCGGCCAAAGTACTCTTTGATCTTGTCGGCATTGTCGCCAATCTCGCCAAAGTAGACGGTCTTGCCACCACTGGCGAGGAGAAGGAGAACATCGAATTGGGCGAAGAGCAAGGCCGAGGGCTGATGGATGGTGACCAGGACTGCTTGACCGACGTCGGCGAGTTTTCTCAGGAAACGAACAGTGTTGAAAGCTGCCTGGCCATCTAGACCAGAGGTCGGCTCGTCAAGGAAGATGAGAATAGACGGCTTGGAAACAAGCTCAACTCCGATAGTGACACGCTTGCGCTGCTCGACCGAAAGTCCAGCACCCACGGTTCCAATAAGCGTATTCTCAAGGTCGTGTAGTTCAAGCAGATCAATAATGGTATCCACATATGCAAGCTTCTCCTCAATAGGGGTATCGCGGCTTTGGCGGAGAAGAGCTGAGAATTCAAGAGCCTCTCGTACAGTGGAGTAAGCATCGTGAACATCAAGCTGTTCGCAGTACCCGGCAGATCGTTGGAAAGAAACGGGAAGGGGTCGACCATCAACCAAGATTTCACCCTTGATTGTTCCAGCCGTCTTTCGTTGGGCGAGAACATCCAGTAGTGTCGTTTTGCCAGCGCCAGAGGATCCCATGAGGGCACCAAGCATACCGGGTTTGACGTAGCCATGAACATTGTTGAGAAGAGTACGATCACCGGAGGGGGTTTTGACGGTGTAGGTCAGGTTGCGCCAGGTAAAGATTGAGGTGTTGCGAATCAGGCTAGTGCCTAGCTTGTCGTTTGCCCCATCTGTAGTACCAAGCGTGTCGTTGTTGGGCGTGATCTTTTCGGTTTGCAGAGATTCCTCATCCTGAGTCTGAGATGCGCGAAGTCTTTGGACGTACTTTTGCTTTTCGCGTGGGATGTAGGTAGTGCTCGAGCTGGAGGTGTCATTCCAGCGAAGCGTGAAGATGATTGTGCAGGCAATGAATAGAAGCCACCATGCGAAAAGGATTCCCACATTACGCCAGATGTTGGATGGAGAGTAGGACAGACTGTCCAGGTATTCTTGTCCGCTGAGCGAAGTTGCGCCGCGTCGCGCACCGCGGATACCTGCACAGGATTGTGCGCTTGGATCCTGGTATTGAGGCAGATAGTTCGGGATGAGATTGTCGTAGACGCATGGGATGGTGGTTCCGTCATACTCGTTTGCCATGATAGCCTCGAATCCATATGCCAAAGGATTGATCCAGTAGACCCAGACAAACCATGGGTGCATGTCAGGCTTTGGTATTTCGTATCCTGTACAAATTAGCGAATGTCCTTGGTCGAGAACGTAGCTATGACGTACCCATGTAGACAATTGTCGCGGTGATGGCGAAGCCCGAAACCTTGGATGCAGAGTTGAACGAGGGGAAACCTGCGCCAATCGTCCTCATCATGGCAGTCATGGCCAAAGTGACGACGTAGACGACAAACCAGTTGATGAAGAACGCCGCCGCAGTTTGCTTCAATGCGGTCATCCAGTACACGATTAAGACAAAAGAAGCTGTCTGAAAGATCAAAATCGGAATATCGGCTGCGACTTGTGCAATGCAAAAAGCAGCTGGGTTGAAAAATGCAAAATTCTTCTGCTTCGCCAAGATGGGACGACCGACGAACGAGTCGTTAACCTCTGAAAGGGTGAAGAGAGCATTAAACAGAAGAGATAAGAACAGAGCGCCAGACTTGAGGAACAGGCCAGCCGTGTTGTCTGGTGCATTGTAGAAGAGCGATCCGGAAATCAAAGCTTGAATGATATTGGTCGCTTGTCTCATGATCAGGCTCGGTTTGTCTCCCCATAGGACTTGGTATTGGCGGACTACACAAGCCTTGACTTGATCGGGGAACGAGACTGTCATGGGCGATGACTTTGGAAGATGTCCAGATTTCTCTCGCAAGACAGATTTGACGAATGCTTCTGTGGTGACCTTGGCCTCTTCCGTAAAGGGATAATCGAGTTCTTGATCCATCTTAGCCTTGATGGTCGACTGCTCATAGGCATATCGTATGTCGGTGTTCTTGCGAGGAAAGGTGGTTTCAAAGCCAGGTTTGATTTGTCGTTCGCTGGGCACGGTGACACCAGTGAGATAATCGGCGACATTTGCTCCATCTCCACAGACGAACCCAAGGCTCTCCATAAAGGGCCGGGCCTCCTCGCGGGAGCCATAGTAGATCTGCTTTCCCTGATCGAGGACGAGAACTTTGTCAAACAGGTCATAGATGCCGTTGCCAGCTTGGTACAGAGTGACAATGGTGGACATTCCCATGGTGTCTGTCAGGCATCGCAGTGCGCGGACATATTCAAGAGCAGTGGAGGCATCCAGGCCCCGTGTTGAGTTGTCCCAGCATACAACACTGCCACGTGTTGCGAGAGTTTCGATGATGGAGACTCGCTTTCTCTCGCCACCAGAGACACCTCGCACGTATGCGTCACCGACCTTTGTACCCTCTGTGTGCGCAATGCCCATTGAATTGAGGAGGAATTGTTTAAAGTTGCGTCGGGCCTCGGTGCGGCTGGATCTATTTCCTTCGAGGTTTGCAGGCATGTTCAGACGAGTGGCAAAGTCCATGGTCTCGCCAACAGTGAGTGTTGGGTAGAAGAGTTCCTCCTCATTGTTGATGACAATACTACCAGAGTATTGCTTGGCCTGTTCGGCGTCGAGCGATCCATAATGAACTTCGCCATCTACATTTGCATATCTGGGAGGATATGGTCAGCTTTGTAGGGGGCTCAGCTACGTGGTACATACCCATTACGCTTGTTGGCTAGCATTTTGAGCAAAGTCGTGCATCCAGAGCCTGGGCGCCCCAAAACTAGAAGCATCTCTCCAGGACGAACACATCCCGAGCTGGATTCGAGAATAGTCTTCAGAGCTGGTTTTGCGCGGAAGTCCTTGAGGAGCTGTAGAAGATTGAACTGACTGGGAATGTTCTCCTTGAATCGCTCGTCGGCAGGAACTACGCCGACACTGAGGTTCTTCCATGTGACGCCTAGCTTGCGGCTGCTGGCTTGGCTGTTGATGTCAAAGTACTTGAGATCTTTGGCCAGCCTCCATTGCTCAACCTGAGTGTTTGTTGAACTCTGGTCTGCACCGTCTTCCAAATCTTTGATTTCGTTTTGCTGATGTTTTTCGGTGGGTGAAGGGGGCATAGAGGAGTGAGTGGATACGTTTACATCGCTGCCAGCAAGTTCTCCCGGGACAGGGGCTGGTCTGCCCTGGCCGTCCATGGTGAAAATCTTTAGTCGGACAACAATGCGAGTAACAAGCAGGTCAGGATGACAAAGAGCAGGTGGTGCGAATTAGCTGTGGCGCCTTGGACATGTTGCTCGCGACATATATTATAGCAAACTGTTTCGGGGTTGAGTGTATCGAACATGTCGATGATGAGAAAGGATCACCAGTCTGGAGATCGGATACATGTGGAAGATGCCAGGGCATGAGGCTGCAATGCTGCAGTGGTAATCCGACCAATGCGGCAGCGTACACACGAGCTGGTACATGGAACGTGGACACCGCGGGCGCCGAGCGAAGCCTAACGCATATGATTGCCGGGCACTAACAAGCGTTTACAACAGGACGGCACGGCAAATGGACAGGGTTTGGCGGTGGGCCTTGAACGTAATGGGAGAGTGGGAGGTGGTGACGATCATGGCCACGGGGCCCGTGGACACCGAGCCCGCCACGAGCGCTGCCGATCATTGCCCCGAAGCGAGTACGCACCAGCAACTTGCTCTATCGGTTGCACAACACCATGCAGTGCCTTGATTCAGGGTGAAATTGCCTTTTGCCATGTGTCTATCTACATTGGACGCAAAGCATCGCCGTCGGTGGTGTGGGCTTGCTATCTGTGCCACACATGTGCATGAAACGTACCTCATCGCCACCATGACCGTCATGTCTATGACTCTATCTACTATGCACGAGTGGGTAACTGGCCATAGAGACCGAGGAATATAAACGTCTTGCAGCGCCGCGCCCATGTCCTGCGCCATTCGCCCTACAACCTATGTAGGTGCATGCCGTGCCAATGAAAATTTCTTTGTGCCACTACCTGCAGCCTCGCATCCTAGAATCACAACCAGGTATAGATCCAACGAGGGTATACATGCAAAGAGAATGCGTATCAAATCCCACCAAAAAATCGGAAATGTGGTATAATTTAGGAAACACCGTATACAAATGAAAAGAAAGATGAGAGAGAAAAAAAACGAAGACGACGTATTAAACCGCGTTTAATGCGGACGTGATGAAGCGGGCGATACCACCGACTCAACTCTCCTTGAGTGCATTCCTCACGGCTGCGGATAGAAAGCCGAGACTGCTACGGGCGTCGGCTTCGACCGCCTCGAGCGTACGGGCTGAGAGAGGCACGAGTGTCGGATCCATGGCATTTGGCCGAAAGAGCGTCGTGGGCATTGTGCGTCTGCGGCCATAATAACTGCGCTCTAGTTCATTTTGCGCCGGGAGTGAGTCAGCAGGGTGAGGGTCGAGGCCCTTTAGCCTGGCCGAAAGTGAAGTTATCAACCGTTGTACAGAATGCAGTTCGCGCAAGACTTGCTGCTTCGCTTGTCGATGACAAGGCTGGTGGCGGCCCGTTGCCGTTGATGTGGCTGATACGGGGCTTCCGTGCCCGCTAGTCATGGGGACACGGTCCATAACGTTGCTACTAGTGCCAACGCCAGGCCCACCCGTCAGCGCAGCAGCTGAAGCATACCATGACAGCATCTTCATCGTGATGAGCAGTGCGACGACAATGAGCAGCTTGTCGTCGCGACAGTTGTTGCAGTTGACCAGAGCAAGCATGGCCTGGATCGTTCGCTTATTCTTGGCCAGGATGAGCTGAGTCAGGGGGCTCCCGGACACGGTAGATGGGTCCGAGCAGGGGTTTTGAGTGATGGTTTTGAACAAATCAAGTGCCTTGTGCAGACAGTTGCAGTTGATCCCCTTATCCGCTTTTAAGACGGTCGAGTTTACTGCTTCTGGATGCGCCGGCTGGCTGCATGTCTGGCCACCGGGTAGGGCTGTTAGCGCAACAACGTCTCTCGGTAGACTTGAGTGCCTTGACGACGAAGACGATGCTGACGACGATGCTGATGATGATGACGATGACGATGCTGACGAAAACAATGGTAGCATTGAAGATGCCGACGACATTAACGATTCCGAAGAAGACGCGCGCGAGCTTGATTCAGTGGAAAAGTTGCTAGTTGATGGAACCAAGAGGTCGAATGGCGATTGAGAGCCAGTGCTGCCGTCTAGCATATCCAGGCCCAAGGTAGAGTCGAGCGGCAGGCCTGTCGCCATGGGCGCAGCAGAGGAGTCCCAGTCCATGAGATCGGTATACATGGGCGCATCGATAGCGGCGAGCGTGTCGAGACAGTCGTCCCACGCGCCATTAGTCGAGCTGCTGTTATCGAGATTGAAGGGTGGGAAGAAGTCTGGGGGCAGTGCGTCGGATGGATCCATGTGCGTCTGGAACGAGTCGACGCGGTGGTGGGCACTGGTGCTGCATTGCGCCCGGCCGGACGGGAGTGTCGTCGAGGATGCAGGCGATAGGAGCAGCGAAGCGGTATTATGCTCTGCTGTGGTACTGGCGTGTGGCGAGGGCGACGGAGAATTTTGATGGCCGAGCGTGTTGCCTGCATCTGCTGTCCCGACTGTCCGGCTCTTGGTTTGGTCGGTCGAGAGCGAGGTTGCACGACGTGCACTACTCCCTGGCACCCGTCCTGGACGCTTGCAGTGCAAGTACCGGCACTCGATGCCTTTACTCTCACAGCGAGAGCATGACGGGCGCTCCTTTGTGCAACGAACTTTTGATTTGGCACAGGCCTGGCAGCAGTCGCGCACCTTGAGGCCGCCGCTGGAACGGGTAGCAGCAGGGCGCGAGCCACCGGCCATGGTCGGGGAGGTGGTGGTGGTCATGGTGGTGGTCGATGTCTCTCAATCTCAGCACTGCTTCTCTACCCTCTGGAAGCGTAGATGGCTCTCTGCATGTGTGTACGTACCTAGACAGCCAGGACGATGTGCACACTTTAGTATCCATCATGGCCTCTTCCAGGCTGGCCCACGATGATAATCCCACACAGGCGCCGCCCGGGAAGCCAACGCCTATCACGGCTCGTGCACAGCGCTGGCGACGGCCTTGTGTCACTGTTGCCTCGATTGCGTCCAAATCATCGATCGTGCGGCTATATGGTTCCTGGGATCGTGCATAGAATCGCCAGCCTCGCAGGCCTAGCACCCTCGAGCAGCCGGGTCCCCCTCGTCGCCAGTGGCTGGCGGACCGCAAAACATACCTCTCTGTATGCACACTGCCCACGTCCCTGATAAGACCCACTCATCGCGCCCTGCACATTCACAGCACCGCCGGGGCATTGATTGGCCTGCCCACTAAAGTAACCTCGTATACTGCCGAAGACGCCCCTAGCACTCAGTCGTCACCCTGCACGTGTCGAGAACGCCCCAAAGTACCACCGCCAACATGCCCGCGGACCCACCCGACATGTTCCCGAGCCTGCTTGCAATTGTGCATCCTCGCTCTTTTTGGACCCCGGCGATCCTGGATCCTTTGCCTTGGACCCTTACGTGTGCCTAGGTGGTGGTGGAGTGAATGAGTTGCTCCGTCGTCTCGGAAACATCGCGGGGTAATCCTTCTAGCGGCCGCTGTCTCGGGATTAGCCTCATGCACGCCAGCCTTAGTCACCCATCCCACCCTTGCCACCGTTCGCCCTTTTTCCTTCCTTCAGCCTCGCTGTGCCAGGGCGGATCCCAGTGGGTCAACCCTCATCAATGCCAACAGGTTAGTTTTCCGCCTCACCAAAGTAAAACCCACTACAGTACTATGCGCATGTACTATGCTGACCTTGGCACAGCTGTCGCGTCGTCTTCCGTATTACGGCACTTGTACATTCACTATCACACAAGAATACTACAGTTTCACATACCAAGGGCCAAGAATATGCTTGGGTGACAGCAAATCATGCCACCCGTCATCAAAACATTCGATATGCTAGCCAGACACGGCAAAATCTAGCTACTAGTCGACAAATTACACTATAAAACCACCTACTGATTGGCTAGGCCAAAAGCGTTAGCCCTGCAACGAAGGCCATGGCGCGTCCATACTCTCCCGGATTTGGCCATTGTGAACCCACTCCTCAATCCACCCAATCGTCATCCTACAAACCATTAGTCATGAGTCGTGTTCTGCCTTAGGTTACTGCTCATCAGCAAACTTACTGGCTGCGACTAGTGTCGGCAAATTTCTCGTGATCTCCAAATAGACGGCTCTTGTACCATGGATCCTCTCGCAGCTTCTTGTAGTCCCCCACGCTCTCAAACACGACTTGGCTGAAGCAGTCGTAGTCGGCCACGTTTGCCATCTGTGCGTCATACAGCTCACTCATGAGCTCCCGCGTTTCTTGCGGGTTGTGGATGACGGTCCAACGCTTGATTCCGTGCTTCGCCATGAGATCCTTGGTGAGCGGAGCGGATACCTCTATCATGTGGCGGCGATAGTCCTCCTCGCTTAATCCTGGCTTGCGGTAGCCGAGAATGGTAAGACACAGATATTTACTTGGTGGGAGGCCATTGCTGCGATGCCCGATGGACGCCATTTTCTCAAAGTGGAATGATTTGACGACTCGTAACGAGACTTGGTCTGTCAAATGTATAATGAATTGATCAAACAGCTGCCGTTTATATCCCATGTCTCCCTTGCACCCGTTCAGGCAGCCCCTTGCTATATCGTCCGGAGAAGCCGAAACTCTGTACTCGGGTCCCGAAAACTTCCTTATCCTACCGTGTACCAACACATTGGACCATGAGAACCCCTCCGTGGGAGACATGGTACGCCACATTCGCCACGTGAAGCTTACGTCTTCTCCTCACGGAAGATTGCATCAACACCATTGATGCAATAGTACACGTACTGAGATGCGGAGGCTCCGATGCGAACCCCTACCCAGTAAGCGGCACAAATCGGACCGTGTCTCATGTCATCCTACCTCGCAATTCGGGGTGTATATTTGCAAGCTAACCAGCACTTGGCCCTAGTCATGTTTTAAGGCCGTTTGTTCCGCGGGAAAGCACCGGGTCACTCCGTTCTTCTCGTATCGGATCCTTTTTCGGAGCACGCAGTGTGGGAATACCCGTAACTCTAGTTTCCAGAGGGCGTGGCGAAATCCTTGTGAGAAGCAGAACATTCGCAATATGCGCGATCTGAATTTAATCGGCATCCGATTGCATCATTTCCGTTGAAAATCCTTTCCAGCTGGTAGAAACTCAACGAGGGCCGCCGAACCCCAGAAGATACCAGGGCCAATCGAGCTAAGCTTGCCTTGATGTCGCCTTGCCTTCTACTGGGATAACACGGGTTGCTCGAACAAGCTAACAATTCGCTACAATGCTTGTCGTCACAACATGGGGAAACACCGCATAACTTCTCACTTTAAACCAGACATGGGGATGTGACAGCGACAAGTTGGCGCCCCACTTGAATATACCTTGATACGGCCATTTGTTATGGCACATGAACGCCAATGGCACTGTTCATTGGTACTTGATTACATTGTGGATACATTTCTGCTGTAGAGTTTCAAGAAAACGGAGTATGTACATGGACTCGGTAAGATTTGTTAGATAAGCTCACCGTTCTCACAAGATTGATATTTGGCCACTAACGCAATAGTAGCCCCGTCGGCGGACCGAACGCGGTTCTTGACCACTAATTTTCCGCGTGCGTCAGAAATGCTTTCTGTAAGTTTGTAAAGTTCAGACACCTCCATGGCCCCGTTACCGGTGAGGTGCATGTCTGTGAAGTCGAGAAGCCGTACTCGGGTCTCGACGTTGATGGCTACTGATCCAGGTTCAGGCAACATTGCCGGTGCCAGAATCAACAAGGCCATTGGATTGGCTCGGAGAATACCGAAATGCGCCTTGAGCTCCATTGTGATAAGATCTTCGGCCGTGTAGCCACGTGTGCTCGCTGCGCAAAAAGAAGTGTGTAGAAGATACACTGCCGCGTCCTTTACCGGTTGCACTGCGGTCGGTTTTCTCCGTTGTATTATGATACGTTCGCTGGTAACCAAATCCTTGTCGCCGTTACCAACCCCAGACAGGCCCGCGTCCGTGGGTGTAAAATCGTACGTCTGTACCGTCAATCGAAGGGCTGGAGCAGTCTGCGCCAGGTCCCGCGCCAGGCTTGTGTCGTTGTCACATATCTGTCACAATCGTATCCTGTCAGCAAACGCTGGTCACAAGAGCGACTCAACTCGGTTCTTTGGTTACTCACATCGACGACGCATGCGTCTCCCAGGCTACGCCAATTGAGCAAGTTTGGCAAGTATGCAAGCTGGTAGCTCATGCTGCCCATGCTCTGACGGTAGGCCTGCCATTGCCGGTTTGTTTGCGGTTCCTGGGAAACAAATTCCAACAGTCGTGATGATTGTAGGCCCGCTGCGCTGCCATCCTGCTCGTTTGCGAAAGAGGTAAGATCGAGGGATGCTGGGGCCACTTTGCTTGCCAAAAACATAGCAGCGTCGAAATATGATAACTCGGTCGTAAATGATAACGACAAAGACGTATGTGCAACATGCCCATGCTTAGGCTCATACAGAAAACCTGCAGTGGCAGTCATCCTCACGACTCGGCTAAGCGTACGCTCTGGCACATCGGCTAGATTCGCAAGCTCTTCTAGTGAAATGGTGTCATCTAACGGTATGTAGGCGATGATTTGATACTCGCCCATCCATTTTAGACAAGCCAGGAGTTGATTCTGTTTCAAATCACAGACTTAGCTGATTGGTTTCAAGAGGACAAAATACATCTTGTTGGTAGAGGGAGGCACACTGACATACCTGTGTGGCTAGGGATTGTATGAAGCTCGCAGGACCCGCCAAAAGTGTTTCCAAGCGAGAGGATATTCCGCTGAGACTACTATGCGCCAAGGCGATTTCATGCTCTATGTTTTCTGCTCTGGCTGGAGGAACCAAGACGTCGGTTGTGGGCTCTTTGGTGACGGCAATGGTGGCCTGGTTGTTGCTCTCGCACAGTGCTTTGAGTCTCTTAGCAGTAAGGGCGAGTTCGGAACAGAGTGTGTCTAGCTGGCTGAGATCCATGTTTGTAAAGTTGCAATATAGTAATACGGTTTGAAAAGAAGCAGAATGGCTACTTCAAGGCATGGTCTGTAAAAATAATTAAAGCAGCCACTACACCCTCTCGTATCTGTATGCGCATGCACGTATGTGATAGCACCCCTGTACATGTTGCATATACTTTCTGTACGTCCTGATATACAGTACAGATTCGGCTCGTCATTGCCATCACAATCGGAACTAGATGCTAGCGTAAGTTGCTCAGAATAAGATCATCGGAGGTCATGGGCAAGGGCTCCCCCGTCTTGGCACGTGCGAAAATCTTAGCTTCCTTTCCATTTCCGTTTCGGCCCGCAGGGAACCCACACCCACTTTTTCCCCCAATTTATCGAGCAGGGATTCTCCTTGCGGGAACATTTCCCTGGGCCTATTGCGGGTGATGACGCTTCCCTGCTTGGATGGCATGCTCGTAGGGTCGGATCACGTGATCGGGACGCTAACCGACTACAACATCAGGAGCGTACTCGCTATCTATCTAGCCCGATGACACCCCAACAGGTTTCGGCGACGTGTAAATGCACCTGTTTCTCTTAAACACCAATGATCAACCGATGATCTAGTAATTTGGGGTTTGTCCGCGTCATGTACCCGAAATTTCTTCTCCACACGGCAGCCCTATGTTCCGACCATTCTTCCGCCTCAACTAGGGGCCGATCCCCAAAGCGAAACATCTGACGCCTAACGAGTAGTCCCGATCAAACCTCATCGTCGGCTCATACGCCTCCCGTCGACTCAACCCTTTCGCCTCACAGTCACCCAACCGGAGGATTTTGACCCAGCATGTTCGGAAGAAATCCAGCCTCGCTACCAACATGGCATTTCAGCATTGTCGGAACAGATGGACGTTTTGCACCAAGTACCACGAATCCTTCGTGATATTAGAACGGGGATAAAAACAAAGCCATTGACATGCTGTAACTTGAGTCAGAAGTCGTCAGCCAGCGCAACCCACTTGTTGGAGATAGACACACGTACCCATTCTCTGTCTGATTACAGCAAATCCTATTCAACCCTTGCACTGTTTTTTTTTTGCACAGAAAAAAATTTCATCACAATGGGCGACTACGGCAGCACGGAATCTCAGACACTTGACGTCGATGTCCTCATTGTTGGCGCGGGACCTACAGGTGCTTCTTTAGGCAGCTTCCTTGGATCTCACGGTAAGGCGTGCCATCTGACACACTTCCGCCCTATGCAACATTGTGCAAAAAGCATGCTGACTGGAGTTACCACATTGAAGGAATCACAGGGTTGCAGATCGACGCTGAGCCTGGCCCATCGCCGCGCCCACGTGCCAATTACGTGAACATGGCTGGCCTTGGTACGTAAGATTCGCCTCCTTCAGCCTTTCTCGGGTAAGAGTACGGTAGACGCTGACGACCGTTCCACAGAATGTCTTCGAGAAATTGGCATCGAGGCAAAAGCACAGGAGGTTGCTTGGCCCGTATCAGAGTACTCGACCTATACTCGTTTCTGCAAGACGCTTGTTGGTGAAGAAATCTACAGAGCCCATGTGTTTGGTAACGATCCCCATCGACATGTAAGGCCTCCATTTATTACACGTGGATCTTGGGAGAGCTGAATACTAATTGCGGGAACAATTAATGCAGGGTGATTACTTCGATGCAAGTCCGTCCAAGACGCTCTGTCTCTGTCAGTCCGATCTTGAGCCCTTGTTGCTCGAACATTCTGAAAAACATGGTTTTCCAACACGTTGGAATACGAGACTGGTCAGCTTTACCGAGGATGCAGAAAAGGATATTGTGATAAGCACACTTGAAAACACTGTCACAGGTGAAATCACTACTGTCCGTTCCAAGCAGCTTGCAGGTGCAGATGGGCCCGATAGTACCGTAGCACGCCAGCTCAATCTCCCCATGGTCCACGGCCCAGGTAATGGCTTCGTCATCAGCGTGTGGGTTGAAGCTGATCTGAAGCACCTTACTGAGCACAATCGCGGTCTACTCCACTACCTCGATCGTCCAGACAAGCCGCAACCTGACTATGGCGTTCTGGGAATCGCGCACTTCATCAAGCCCTGGAATGACTGGGTGATTTCGCTGTTCCCGCACCCCACGTACAAGAAACTCGAGGCAACCGAGGAGCAGATCTTGGCCCGCATGAAGGAACTTGTTGGTGATGACACCATCGAGTACAAGGTCAAAGAAATCAGCACCTGGAGCTTCGACGAGGTCTACGCCAAGCACTACTCGTCCCCCTCGGGCAATGTGCACGCCTTAGGCAACTCTGTGCACCGCCATCCACCCTTTGGCGGTCTCGGCATCAGCACCTGCATGGAAGACTCGTACAACATGGCATGGAAAATGGCCTACGTCCTCCAAGGCAAAGCCAACAAATCCCTCCTGAAAACCTACAACGACGAGCGCCAACCCGCCGGTGAATACGTCGTCCAGCGCACTAACGAAAACGGGCGTCTAAACTTTGGCTTCTACGGCCAATTCGGCTTCCTCAATGAAATCGGCGCCGACCGCCGCGCCGAAATGGACGAATTACTGCGCCAGGACTCGCCGGAAGGCGAAGCCGCCCGCCATCGCTTCCGAAAGGCTATCCGCGATCTCGCGGATGAACGGCACTGTATCGGCGCCATGATGAACCAGTGGTACAAGTCGTCTGCTGTGTACGCGGCCGATGAAACCAAAGACCCGGACTGGCCCACCAATGCATCAGATCGCTCCACCAAGCTCTACACGAGCACCTATCCCGGTTGGCGTGTCCCCCATGCCTGGCTTGCGCCCCGCCAGACTGAACCTGGCCCCCGACTCCCCTTGGTCTCGACCAGAGATGTCGTCGGACATAACCGCTTTACCCTCCTCACGGGAATCGGCGGTAAGGCTGTGTGGGGCCCGGCTGCAGAACACGTCGCTAAAGAGACGGGCGTCGAGATTGCGGTTGCGAGTATTGGTTTTGGCCAGGACTATGGCGATGCGCTGTTCCGGTGGCATGAGGTGCGTGGCGTCGAGGAGAAGGGTGCCGTGTTGGTGAGACCGGATCGCACGGTTGCGTGGCGCGCGAAGAAGCCGTTGGGAAGTGAGGAGGAGACGAGGGAGAAGTTGGGTGTTGTGATGAAGTCGGTTTTGGGGATTTAGAGGGGTGTTTTTCTTTCTTTTGGCGTGTGGAGGGATATGATGGCAAGTAAATGACTTCGTATTATCCTTGATAGGATTTGCGGTTACAGAGTTATGAATGGTATCTCCTTTTTTTTTCTTATACATGAGTCTTCTAAGAATCTTTTGTACAATCCTTTTCTTGATGCAGCTCAATTTGGTGAGCATCTTCGTTGCTACATACTATACGTGTTCGCTGGCTACAGTCTCTACCGTACTTGATCCATCTGCAGGGTATGTACCAACGTATTCCAGACAGCTCGTTCAGCTGATTTTGTCCTTGCCACAGCCGCATGTGGGAAATGCGTTGGTGGCATTATTGATCGTATGTGTGACGAGGATCAAGCTAGGAGTCTTTATGTGCATTTACTGCAATTTGTCTGAGCTCCGAGAGAATTGTTGCTTGGTAGCGTAGTTGTACTCGATCGTCCTGGCCATTCCGCAACGTGTGCGCCCATGTTCTTGGACAGTAAAGGGGAGTATCTATGGCGTAGAGTGTACCGAAAGGCGTATCTCTTCCAGCCGTCGCAAGATACTGTTCGCAGCAGTGATCTAGCCATTTTCAATCGGCTCAATGCGGTTCCCTCTTATTTTCCTACTCATTAAATATACAGGCTTTCCAGCTCAAATATGGAGAACAGTTCCAGTTCGCTTTGGAAGTTGTTTTCACAAACCTATGCATCGGGTCACGATGTCATTCTCATTCCATCCAGATGATGCGGTTTCGGTGGAAAATCAGTCGAGAAGCCATTCTTGTCTCTGTATTGCTCTCGCAAAAGGAAGCAGGGCGCACATAATAGGTCGTCAACGGCATAGCTGCCCAGCCAGGCCCTGCCATGAGCGCGGTATAGTAGCAATGCTACTTCTGCGAACATTTCGGGAGCGCTGTCCTGATCTAAAAGAGCGCCATCTGGGAAGAGGTAGGGCTCGGCGTCGTAGAAGAGTTCGTCAGTTGTGGAGTCGGCCGTTTCGTGGTTGTCGTCGATGCAACATATGCCGGTGTACTCGGGTGGATCTGTTTCTTTGAAAACGGCATGCAGATTATCAGCATTCTCGCAGACACAGCCAAATCGGTGGTTGGTTTTGACACACTCGGCGACAGCTATGCGAACAGGCGAGACGAGAGCGCCTGGAAGGGACTTGTAGTTGTCTTCACAGCAAGTACAAGTACTACCTTTCAATTGCGTGATATCGCTTCCGCTCATCGTACTCCGGTAAGAAAGTGCATCAAGGAATAGAGCCCTTGTATACCCTAATTGCTGCTGGTAGCGCTCGAATTCTAGTCGAACATAGGCCTCCAGGTTCTCAGTCGTGTCAAGTACCGTACTACACCATGCTGCATAAATGATAGGAAGTGCCTGTAGATACTCTCTATGACTCAGGTCGTCATGTAGCCAATCGAATCCTGGCATCTGGCAAAAAGATCCTGCGCTAATTGCCATAGGTAGCAATACTCGACCGCAGACTTGAAAAGCGAGCAAAATGCTAATCGTATCTAATCTCTTTTGACATGTCGCTTTGTATTCGCAATCAGAGAGTCCCAGAATCCGGTTCAGAAAGCAACCATCTCGCATGTGGCAAAGTACTGTTCGGACAGCGTGCTGCAAACCACACCATATCGTCTGCGAGTTGAGTTGGACGTACTGTTCAGTAGGAGCACAGTGAAATAGCCACGTAATGCTGTTTTGCGAAATGGGCACACTTTCTTGCGCATATGTTCTCTTAAGCCACTCATGCACTGTCCAACCGTCGCTCTTGGGATCTGTCAGCTCGATACAGTCGGAAAATAGTCGCAACATGGAAATCTTGACATCGGCATGCATATCCTGCGCTAATGCGACAAAGAGGGTGATGGGAGAACTATAAGATTAGCGTCACTTTTGCTTGGAACGGCTAAAGGTAGCTCACAGTATGGCTTCAGTTGGTCCTTCGTATACCAACGCTGATTTATCGGCACCAGCTTCGATTAACATGGCGCAAAGATCAACATGGCCACCAGCTGCTGCAAACTGCACCTCTTATTAGCGCATATAACATGTGGTGGCCCGGGCGGGTTCCAGACATGGAGTGGACTTACGTGCAAAGGCTTCCACCCTTTAGGACTGGTGTCGACTACACTCCCAAGCCGTTTGCTTAGCAGTATCTCTACAGCTCGAGTTTGACCCGTCCGACAGAGCTCAAAGATCAGGGAATCTTCTGGGACGGCGCGGGTCACTGTCAGTTTACAGTTGAACAACCAGCTTCGGCCAGCAGCAGCCATAATCGCTTCCAACCCGTTGTGGATACCTAACCATTGGATCCAGGTATTGGGGTAGAATATGTAAGAGGTGACACATTGCGTCTCTTCGACACTATCATGTGCCTTTCCCGGAAGATGAAGTTTGGTCTTGCGCTTCCATAAACAGCCAAAAGCAGTTCGGAAACCCGTCACATGGTGACTGACACGATACTGCAAGTTGTCTGAATAGACGAATGTCCGCGCTCGAGGAAATCCGTTGCAGTCCACCGTGTAGCCATCCTGAGCGAAGATTTCAAGAGAATTGGATTCGAATTTGGAGATCCCAATCTGCTCAACTGCGTGTAACATCAGCTCCTGCAGCTTCATTGTGGCCATGGCCTGTTTCGAAACGTTCTTCTCGAAATCCATGAGCATAGTTTTTGCTGTTTTGTTTTCTCCAACTGCATTCCTGTGTAGGATATTCTGTTCCACATATACTGGTGGTGGGGGTTGTTGAGATCTGATCGTTGCTCTATCGTCTGCAGGTTGCTCTGACAGCAGATCTATGTTGAGTCCGTCGCGGCCTGGGTGATTCTGAGAGGCAAGCAACATGGTTGTGTGTATCGGAACGGTAGTAGCATATGGCTGAGCTTGTACCATACTTTTGAAAAGTTAGTACCATCATATGGCACCGCCACAGGGAAGAAACCATAATCGCACCTTTGATGTACAAGCGCAAGAGTCAAAGTCAATTTCGTCTCACTCAGTGAGTCGCGAAACTTTTGAATATGCTTGCTTTGACTGGCGACTTTGAAAGCAGCCCATTTCCGTCTTTTCCGCGATGAGGACTGAAACCCTTCATCAAAATCTGCCACAATGGTGTTGAGTTCCTGGATTCTCAGAACACAGTAAGTTTAGAGCGGAAAGGGAGCTCACAAGCAGTCTGCCCCAGCAATGCTGTATGCCCTCTGCTACACATTCCCCGACTGAACCCTTTGTGGATTGGATCCGTTGGAATACTGAAATGAGGTATCGGAGATCCTCATTGATGGCTGCAATGTCTTGTGGTGCATCTTCAACAGAATTCCAGAATTTATATAGCTTCACGAATGACTCAGTGAGCTGAACAGCAATCGAGACTACAGCTAAGCCTAAGACTTGTCAATATGTAGCAACAAGAGAAGTCGTGAGACGGGTTGTAACATGCCGTTTGCCGCCACTGAAAGACCTTCCATGGCTATGACTGCCTCCAAAGCCGACAGAAGCCTCTGTCAATTGCTTGTATTATAATGAACAGTATCTTTGGATGGCTAAGGGGGAAACAGTGCAGCTCGAAGCGTGGGGTCCAAAACGCGTTGAAACAGTTCCCGCGGAAAGCCACATGGCTCTGCCGCAGTTGTTGGATACTTTCGACAATAAATGCCTGATATGGGCTTTGCGCCGGACAAATTGGACAGAAGTAAGATGTGGCGTCCAGAGGATCATGTGCGCTAAGGGGTGACACGAATCCGAGGCTGTGATGGCTATGCAAGTGAAATGACGCTAGCCGTGTGTAGCCCTCGGCACCCACACGTCTAAGACGTGTGCATGCGAAATTCAGGAGTATACGACTGCGTAGTCCTTTGCTGGGACCATCACCCCAGTCTTGTAGAGTACCGTGCCGTCTTTGCGCAGCCGTGTTGCTGTGTTGAGTTTAGTTGATCGTCAAGCGGGGGTTGGCCTGACGAAGAGTGACATATGCCACTGTCTTATGTAGATGTGTCTATATTTAAGTTGATCATACACGGCGCAAGGGACTAGGAGTGGAATATTCGCAGAGAATCGGTGATGAATGGAGTGCCTAACAGAATTTGTTGCCTACACACGTTGTCGCTTACTTCTTCGCATTGACTCCTGCTTCACTTGCACGATTGGGCCCTCGTCTGGTAGCGGCTCCTTCTTGATGCGCTTCCGTTTCGTCGCCTCCTTCTTCACTGTAGTTTCTATCACAGTCTCATCATCCTCCTTTTTGATTACGACCTCCTCTTCTTTAACCTCTACTTTGGCAACCACTCGTTCCGAAAATGCCTTGAGATCCGCCGTAAATAACACAGAATGCGCCCAGCCTGCTTCCTTCCCCCATAGTTTGCGAAACAAATTGCCTATGGCAACATATGTTGCTGCTGTCAAGCTGCTGTGCTTGCCTTTGCCGAAGCGATAGTCGCGCTGCGCAATCTGCCAGACATGGGTATCGACAGGTACAGACTCGGACCAGCCGAGACCGAAGAGGCACACACAGTCTGCAACTTTGGGACCTACACCGTGAAGTGCGAGTAACTCCTCGTGTGCTTTTCTGTACCCCTCTCGGCCACCTTCAAGCATCTCCCCAGCCGGCTTCTCTTCAACGCCAAATTGAGGATATTCGGGGTTGCTTAGATCTTCGAGCCACTTTAAACCCTTGTCCTCTGATACAATGCGCGCAGTCTTAGCGATGTACTTTGCCCTGTATCCAAAGCCAAGTTTCATGAGATGGGCCTCAACGTCTGGACCAGAGAGGGCGGCAGGTGTGGGAAAGTCATGATAGGGAACCTCGTCAATGTGTCCAATTAGGGGTCCATAGTGCAAGCAGAGGTTGTGTACCATGCCGGATATGCGACTGATGTTGTTGTTGCTACTGCATATGAAGCCAATGAGGGCCTCCCAGGCATCCTGTCGCAGTATACGTATTCCTGTGAATTTGGGCGCTCGCTTTCTGAAGTTGGAATCTGAGGCTGCCCATTGTTCATATAGGTGGCCGAGATTTGGCGAGAGGTTGAAGTAGTGGTTGACAAGGGTAAGCGTGTCATCTTCTTCGGGGGCGACGGAAGGCGCATTGGACGGAGGTGGCGTGGGTAGTGCGGTGGTAATGGGTGGGTATGTGGCTCTGTAATGTAGATATTGGGAATCTTGGCGGAGAGAGAGGATACGACCATGGAGTGCTGCTGACCATACGCCTTCTGCAGACCTGCGCCACCTGAGGGGGTGTATTAGCAGTGTTGACGACCAAGATGCGACCATGTAGAGTATCATCGTACCGGAAAGACTGTCCGCAGCGCAAGGTTGTGTCAATGCATAGTTCGGTAAGGCTTGTGGGCAGCTTGTGCCATTCTGCGGCGCGCAATGCCATGGTGGGTCTATTGTGAGGGTGTGATGTAGTTGGGAGAGTGAATGTTCCTCTCTGTATAATAGATACATTCAGTAGCATGTCCCTTAATTAGTGACGGGGGTCTGGGAACAGTCCCGGCGACAGGGGCGGGCGGTGCCAAGGGCGCGCTAGGACAGCCCCGACTTTCTCTCTCACACCTTTTCCGCGACCGCAGACGCAACCACCGCAGAAAGCATCGCGTCCCACAGTCCGGACCATTGCGGGCTTGATCCATCCACCATCGCCTGATCCAGCTCTGCTAATTGCAGCTTCTGCCGCCGTGTCCTTGTGTTCGCCTGCAGAATCTCACGCGGCTGTACGTTACCACCGCGATAGCTCCCATCAACACTACCACCATGAACGGCGATAGTTACTCCCGAGGTAAGCCGGCTAGACCAGTACACGTACTGACTGGTGTACAGTTCCAAAGATGTAAAATACTAACATGAGCAGACGGCGGTCGATCAGCAGGATCCCGCAACTACGTGAGTCCATATTCCCGGCGCGCCACTGGCACACAAATACTGACAGCACAGTCTTCGAGAGATGACCACCGTGATCGCGGTGACCGTGGTGATAGGCGCCGGCGCCGTTCTCGCTCCCCGCGCCATGGCGGAGGCTCCCGCCGCGACTATGAAGTAGATACGTACTCGTCCAGCCGCGACTACCGTGAGCGCGAGCGCGAAGATACATATGCCCGTCGCGAGAGGCGGGATGACCGAGGCGAGCGTGGAGGAGACCGGGGCGGATGGGGAGACTCTTACTCCAGGCGCGACCGACCCCGAGGAGACCGTGGAGGAGACCGCGACCGCGACCGTGGAGACGACGACCGTGGACACCGCCGGGACAGAGACCGTAACGAGAGGGGCGGCGACAGGTTTAGTGATGAGCGAAGGGGTGGCCGAGGTGGACGCGACGGAGGCTTTGGTGGTGGGCGTGATAGGGCGCGCCAGCCCAAGGAAGACTCTCCCCCATACACCAAGCCGCGAGAAGCTACTCCGGACCTCGCCAGCTTCACCAACATTCTGCAGCGCCAGCGTCGCATGACACAATGGGACATCAAGCCCGCCGGTTATGAGAACATCACGGCTGAGCAGGCCAAGCTGTCAGGCATGTTCCCTCTGCCTGGAGCTCCCCGTGCTGCGCCCATGGACCCGTCGAAACTGGCGGCCTTCATCTCGCCCTCGACTGGAACCGCCACAGCTGCTGCTCTCGCCACGTCAGCTGCTAAGCAGTCGAAGCGTCTCTATGTTCACAACCTGCCTTCAGGCTGCACGTCGCAGGAGATTATGGAATTCTTCAACACTCAGCTGAACGGTCTTAACGTTGTCTCTGGACCGGATCCCTGTGTATCAGCCCACATTGCGACAAGTAAGGAGTACGCTGCGCTGGAGTTTAAGGCGCCCGAAGATGCAACTCTCGCTCTGGCTATGAACGGTATCTCTATGCGCGACGACGGTGGCGCTCCCGATCGCGCCGGCCTCTCCATCCGCCGGCCCAAGGACTACATCACCCCTACTGCCGACGAGAACGCCTACCCACCTGGTGACGAAGTGTCTTCTGTTGTCAAGGATAGTCCCAACAAGCTCAGCATTGTCAATATTCCTACATATATTGAGGAGGAGCAAATTCGTGAGCTTGTCGAAACCATGGGCAAACTAAAGGCTTTCATTCTGGTCAAGGATACGAGCACCGACCAACACCGCGTAAGTTGTGTATTTAAACTGACCTTTTCAGCTTGCTAACATACTACAGGGTATCGCTTTCTGCGAGTACGCCGACAACGAAATCATCGATGCTGTCATTGAAGGTCTGAACGACATTCCACTCGGCGATGGTAATCTCAAGGTGTCACGTGCGACTGTCGGTCTTCAGCAGACTACTGGTCTGGATGGTGGAGTTGGTGCTATCTCTATGTTGGCAGGAGCAAGCGCTGCAGAGAACCGCGAACACAGCCGCGTTGTTTGCCTTATGAACATGGTGACTTCGGATGAGCTCCTCAACGATGAGGAATACGAAGGTAAGCACTGGCAGATACCTATGAGTTTGACACAACACTAACATGAGTCCAGAAATCAAGGAAGACATCGAAGAGGAGTGCGGCAAGTACGGAACGATCCTCGAGACCAAGATTCCTCGTCCTGCCGGAGCTCGCGTCAATCTCGGTGTTGGCAAGATCTACATCAAGTACCAGGACACAGAGTCAGCGCAAAAGGCCATCAAGGCGCTCGCTGGTCGTCAATTCTCGCGAAGAACAGTCGTGGCAACCGAGTTCTCGGAAGAGGGCTTCGACGTGGATGCCTGGTAGACTATCTCTATCGCTTTATGTTCTGTGTTTGGTGGATTTTGTCCATATGGCATGCTATTTTGCTGGGTCGGGGTGTATCAAAAATGAAGAACAGGATCAGCATTTGTATACTAATTTGATTGTAGGGGAAGCCAGTATGCATGGGAGCGTTGCAGTACTGGCAATTTGCTTGTGTTTTGAATATGTCGCCTACGTAGGCGGATTGCGCTTTCCACGGTCCACCTGAAATATGATACCGAATTGTTCTCTTTTTGATTGAAGTATGGCTACGATAAGGTTGGGATGCGCCTTGATTTGACCCTCGTCATGGCGCATACGTAGGTTGACGTCGGTATTAAAGTGCTGATGTATCAGCAATCTTATCTCCACATGTAAATTCACCAACTCCCTTGCGATTTCGTCTGTATGCTCCCAAGTACTTACGGTCCGACCTATGGCGTAGCAACCGTCCGTGGCATTTCAGGTAAATGTGCATGTGGGGCATATCGGCGCAATATCAACGGAGGTAACCGGAGTTAACCCCGTCTATGACAGCTTTAAGACGATATTAGGAACGCCTCCACCACCAAGCAGTCTGGCAGAGCGATGTTCGTCCGCCGCTACTTCTCAACTCGGACTAAGGGCCTCAATGAAGTACAGGCATCCTTGGTGACATCGGCGACATGATGCTTTGACAAGCCATTCGTGTCTTGCTTTAACATCTCGCGATACGAATGGCCCTTAAACCCGGCGGCCCGAAGAGACCATGTGCTTGGCCCACGCAGGTTTTAACGGTGTTAACGATGAGAAAAATGCGAAAAATGTATCAAAGAAACATCTAAAACAACTCTGCCTGCACCAATTTCACAGTCTCAACCTACCGCAATTCAATTCAATTCAATTCACCAACTAAACCCCTCCAACATCACCCACAATGGCAAGCTTCGCCCGCTTCCTGTATTCCCAACTCTTCATCACACCCCCACCCCCCAAGGCCGACCTAACCGGCAAAATCGTCCTCATAACTGGCTCCAATACGGGCCTAGGCAAAGAAGCAGCCCGACACTATGTCTCTCTCAACGCCTCAACTGTCATCCTCGCCGTGCGCTCCCTTGAAAAAGGCGAAGCAGCCGCCAAAGACATTGAGACGACCACCAGCCGCCAAAATGTAATAAAAGTTCTCCACCTCGACATGTCGTCGTACCAATCCGTGCTCGATTTCGCTTCCACTGTTAGCAAGGAGGTGGACCGGCTCGACATCGCCATCCTCAACGCCGGCGTAAATCGCGGCGTCTGGGAACTGTTCGAGCAAGACGAGTCCACCATCACCGTCAACGTCGTTTCAACTTTCCTTCTCTTTTTCTCTCTTCTCCCTAAACTCCGGGATACTGCGAACAAATTCAACGTGCGGCCGACGCTGACGGTTGTGAGTTCGCTAATGCATCAGTGGACGGGGTTTGCGGAAAGGAAAGCACCCGAGGGACAGTTGTTTGAGCGGTTGAGGGAGGAGGTTGTACAAGGAAAGAAGGTGGATTTGATGGATAGGTATTCTGTTAGTAAGTTGATGGAGGTGCTTGTTGTGAGGGAATTTTGTGGGAGGAATCAGACTGGGGATGGGAAAAGGGGAATGCCGGTTACGGTGAATACTGTTAATCCGGGGTTCTGTCATTCGTAAGTCCTTATTTTCCGGTTCCGTTTCATTCTTTTTCGCAGTTTCTAATTATGAATTACAGGGAGTTCGGTCGCGAAGGCCCCTTCTTCGAGGCTATACCGCGTTTCTTTCTTGCTCGGACTACGGAAGTTGGGTCGAGGACGCTGGTGCATGCGGGTTTGCAGGGTGAGGAGACACATGGGAAGTATTTGAGTGATTGCGAGATTATGGAGCCGAGTACATATGTTAGGAGTGAGGAAGGAAAGAAGGATCAGGAGAGGGTGTGGAGGGAGTTGATGGTGAAATTGGAGAGCATCAAGGCAGGAGTTACGCAGGGGTATTAAGGGCTTGAATACGCATTTCAGGTTACGAACGTGTAAGATATTATGCTTGATATGAGGTTTTTCTATGAGCAAGAAGCGCTACCGGACCAACACTCGGTCGCCACGTCTGCTGAACCAGTCATGGTCGGAAACATGGCGCTGAAGAATGCTGTTAAGCAGATCGACAAAGATGTAGTGTCTCTATCCAATAATTTACACCAAGTTACAGTTATTTTTTTGAAAGACCTAAAGAAAACCAAGAAGATATGTCTCTATTTAGGGCGTGAAATAGTATAATAGCGATACAACGGCATTATAAGGCAGACTAAAAGCAATAATTCACTAGTGGTACTTTAAAACTTAGCTAAGGAGGCTCTAATTAGCTATGAAATGATTTCCAAATACATACGTGCTATACGAGCATATTATGCGATTGGGTCTTATTAGTTGCTTCGCCATATACGAAACAAATGCTAGGGAACACATTACAGTCATACAAGAAAATATGTAAGCAGTTAAGTATATCAAAAGTATTATGTAGTTATTGTGATGTGTATTGTAGTAGGAGCAAGTTTAAATACAGAGATAGAATATACTTCTTAAATACACAACTGCTTGTATAAACTCATTTATCTATGTATGTACTACTTACAAAAAGCAGCTGCTATAAGGATTTTCTTACCCTATACAATAAGGCATGCTCTGTATAGTTATTTTCGCTTTATATGCAGTAGCTATAGGGGCGGCTTCTTCAGTCTACTACCAAATCCAACGCGAATCACGTAATTATATAGTTCTTGTTCCCAGGTACTGCCTACTTGCGATCCCAAGAGAGTTTATCTTCTCAATACAGCATTATCCTATCTCGTTTCTATGAAATGCCTATGATTTTCGTCTGCCGAACATAGCTAGCAGTCTCACAACGCCCTCGTGGCCCGTTCGTGCCGCTACCTGTAAAGGTGTCTTTCCATGGTTGTCCTTCGCATTGATGTTGATGCTATCTTGCTCAACCAGCAGCCTTACAACGCCCTCGTGGCCCCCTTGTGCCGCCGTCCATAAAGGTGTCNTTCCATTGTTATCCTTTGCATTAATGTCGATCCTATCTTGCTCAACTAGCAGCCTTACAAGGCCCTCGAGACCCCGTCGCGCCGCCGTCCACAAAGGTGTCCCTCCATAGTCATCCTTCGCATTGATGTCGATTCTATCCTGCTCAAGCAATGCTTTTAAAATGCCCTCATGACCATATTCTGCTGCTATCACGAAAGCTGGATGATCTCGTATGTCTTTGCACTCTACAGCAAAATCAACCCACTTAGGTCCGTCCCAACTGCAGCTAATGAACCGCTCTGGTTCTGATGTTGAATGTTTTAAGGCACACAAGAACGCTGCGCTGCGTAAATATTTTAGATTGTCAATAAATTCAGACCAGCCCCAGTCGATATAGTACAGGTCAGGAGACTCGGTGCGTCCTGGGAAGAGTAACGTAGATGTGGTACTCCGTATAAGTTCCTGTAAGTTCTTTGTGTAATCTGCCTGCAATTTACTTCGTTCGTACACACTTGATGACATGCCAAGCAAGGCATATATCATATCTCGCTTGTCAGTCGCTTCGCTTCTATGAAAATTCTGTAGAAGTGTGTGTAATGTCGGCTGTTGCGTGTACCAATTTGTTGCTCGAAGATGGCCAGGCATGACATCCAAGATGGCTTTGGAGTGAGGATCAAGTTCTAGTCCAAGAAGTGACGGTGCCTTGGTGAAGACCCGCGTTGAAACAGATTTCCACCCGCAAGCAATAATTGCTCTCCGTGCCTTAGCAACCTCTTGTATAATCCAAACCCGCCTGAACCATGGCCGCTCTAGAAGTTTTCTCATCGACTCACGATATCGGTCCTGCAGATTACGAGGCACAAGTTGGCTCGTTGAGTGCACTTCGGCATTCGACGACAGCGTCCTGAGAAATTCCATCAGATTGTCACTATCTTCAGATCCAGTACCTAGCCAGATAATCACTCTTTCTGCGGTTTGATAGATTTCTCCCATCTGTTGAACCTGGTGGCCTTTTTCTTTTTCGTCGCCTTGATCGATACACACAGCATCGATCCATAGAACTCTGTAACCATCCACTGGGCGAAGATGGTGCAGGGCTATGAATAGATTTTCAGTCACTCTTGCTTTCATGCCGTTGATCTGAATTATGGCACTCTTTTCAATGTCACCCCAGGTATAAGATAAGGCATCGTAAGGTATCCCGCCATCCTTAGATTCATCGAGGTAGGCTTCAAAAAGCTCGCAATGGATATATGTAGTGGCTCCGCCCAGGAGTCGGATCAGCCGAAAGGAGGGGCGATCCATATCGATCCGGTCGTACGTGAACTCTTTTTCCGACATCGTAAATTCCACTGTTAGATAGTTACAATTAGTTACGTTACCCTAGCGTGGTACTGACGTACGTATATAATTGCACGATACTAACAAACTGTCAGAAATCCAAGAGATGTAAGAAAAAGCGCGACCCTTAGAAAGCGAGATAGCCCTTTAGGCATATATTGTGGTGTAGTTGAATAGCGTAAGCTAGGGTATTCATAAAACTAGCATGTAGACCGCCAGGCATCGACGAACAGTAGCAGTGTGGAGGCGGTGCAGTGGCTGTGCATCGGCAGTGCCTAGGAACAAAACCACCAATGCTTTTGTCGGATCCTAATCGCTCCATAGAGGCAGTGCATCCACGCAGCCAGGCTGAAAGCGCTGGCTACATCAGCTGCTCAGTGTCCTGCGCCAACTGCCCTCACTTTCCGTACCGAGGCAGTGCTGGTTTTATGAACTCATGATACAGGAGTGCGCACATAGGCAATTCACTAGCCGATGGAGCAGATTTAAGAATGTTATCGTTGCAGCCTCTCTCGCAAAGCTCCTCATGGAGAGGGGCAAGCACAATGAGACACGTGTGCCTACACAGCCGGGAATAAGCAATATCTAAGGCCAGGCCATAGTCTCAGCCACAGCGCCCAGTGCGCCTGTGGGACGCGTTTTGACGATCTTGCCATCTACGCGGAGAAACTACCAGATGTACACTTATTATCGCTTGACGTTTTTCTCTCTGTTTGCTATATAGCGTATCAGATCAATTCTACTAAATCGAACTTTTAAGGCTAGGGTCTTAATCTTTACTATTCTAGCTTCTTTTCTAGCCCACCAAGCTCTCTGCAGATGCCAGTCGTCTCAAATAAACAAAGGCGTACTAGAGGAGAGTCGATTAATAGTACTAATAGAACGAGCGACAGCATAGTTAACGATACGCTTTTAAGTGTTGGAGGCTAATACACTGAACGTGTAAAATAAATGTAAGCTAGAACTGGCGGTTTATAGCCATAGTTGGTACAAGCCAGGCGCCCAAAAGAAAATGTGTCCCGAGTTACAAGTAACAAGAAGGATTCTCTCCTTGACAAGTGACGAGAAGGCTGAGGGCCTATGGACGTCCACGTCAGGTAATGATCATCGCGGGGCCAGGTCACGTGATGGGCCATCCCGCC